CAAATGCAGTGAAGAGGACTGCGCAAAAGACCCTGGGTCATTTTGTGCTGGCAATCTACTGTGTACACACTGAACCTGTGTATGTTTGAGTTCCATCTAGAAAATACATGCTCACCAGTGACTGTGGGCACTTGTGCACGTTTGTGCTGTAAAACCAAAGGAGGGTTAAGGGAATCTTGAACCCTGAGAATCAGTGGGAACTTTCAACTTTTTCTCCAGCACTATGTCCTTTTTCATGAGGAAGCTAAACTGAGTGATAGAACAAAGCAGAGCTAAAGTCTCTTTGGAAAATGCAGACTGAAACGAAATTTCAGAAGAAATGGCCGTTTGACTCATTTACGCAGGGTGGGTCACATTTGGTGGATGGTTGGCGCATCCAATGAAAGCTGAATCAGATTCTCATGAAAGAGAAGATTTCTGTTCGAATAAATTTGGCGTGGTCTTTTTGGGGAAGAGTGTTTTATTAGTTAGTACATTAGTAGATGTAAAAATAAAAAGTATTCTTTACATTTTATCTTTATTCTGCTTCCACAGAATGTATTGGGTCATACATTAATTTATCGTCTCCTTTGTTTTGGCATCGTACCCAACTCCGCACTGTTGTTTTATTGTATAAAAAATGATGCTTGGTTAAGGAAAAAGGTGCCCTTTTTAAAACAATTTTCTAAATTCTGTTACATTGTTAGTTCAGGCACCATGCATGTATAAATGTCAACTTTGTACATAATTAGTATCAGCGTAACATACCAAAAGATTTGTAATTAAAAAGAGCGAGTTACGGGTGAAGACAGCCTCTTCCACAGGTGTGATTCTGGCGTCATTTTGTGTTGGACCTGCTTGTGTATCCAGTAACTCATTAAATTGATATCACAGAAAAAAAAAACAAACAGACACAACATGCAAACTTCTTGAAACCAAATCTGCATATTATACCGCCTGTTGCCAAACTTCTAATCTGTAATACACAAACATGCTGAAGGCATTGCCGAAAGCATTTATAGACCAGTAATTGATTAAAATACTGAAACTCTGTGCAGCAGCCATGTAGCCAGGATTCTCACCATCCACGAATATGGGAGGGACTGCGTGTACAATGGGCCTTGGTGTCAATGGGGATGGGACAGGCACTAAATGCCAGTTTTTCTTTTTTTTCATTATGCCAGAGGGGAATGGAGAGGGGGGTAAACTGAGAAGCACGTCCCTCCCCAGCTATGCCACTACCGGTGCTTTGATTCCTGACGGCTTCTGTTTGGGATGAAATGACTGGCTGACATGAAGACACAGGTGGTCGCATGCCATTCTAGGTTTATTTAATGTACTAATACCAGAGGTGGTGGGTCGATTGCTTTCAGTATCTGCAAATACTCATCATCCCTGCTGTCGTCTATTCATGACAGGCGAACATGTGCAATGTGCGAAACCCTCAAAGGACCTGATTTTCTATCAAGCACGCAGCACTGGGATTATACTAACGGATTGCTGCCTCAACCCTGCTGAATTCAACAAAACCAACCAAGCTGCTGTACCCTGTTGAAGTACAAGGTCTATTTTGAACTCTTGATAGAGTGAGCTGGCTTAACACTGCAGTGGGATGCAGCAAGGTTCAAAATTTGCTGCCAAAGTCTGCTAATTTCAAAGGCTTGGCAATCTACTGATGTTGGTTCACGTTGGATTAAAGCTTTCCACTTGGCCCATATCAGAGTGTAATAGACCTTATTCAAGGGAAAGCCTTTTGTATGGTGTTCCCTGAATTTATCTTAATCAGTGTATTCCATTAAGTGGGGCAATGCCAAACTATTTGGGTTCCAAGCCTCTTTCTTTAAATGTGGCCGAACACATTTAGATATAAATCACAAATAATCACACATTTTGAATTATTTTATCAGCATAAACTAAAAAAGGAATTTGTTATAGCCTTTTATTTCATACTTTCATTTTCACTTTCAGGTTCCCAGATTGAGAGTTAACCTCGCTTTCGATTCAATATGGTTGACCCATGGATGCAGTCCATTGCAGTAGGGCAGATGAGAATGAGATGACCAGATAACCACAATGCACTGAACAAATAGCCATTCCAAAACGATGAGAACTAAAGATGCTTGCGTTTATGACATCACAAAGGAGTTCTTGAGGTGACATAGCCACATCTTTGAAGGCAGGCTATTGTGCACATTCGAAAGTGTCTAGCTCTCTCAAAAAGTTCACACACCGAGCAAATACCCTCTGCCTTAAATAGTAATGGCAAACAGGGGCTGGTGAAATGAAAAACCTTTTTTGGTCTCAGGGTCCAGTTTGTTCTGATAAATGATATAAGCACAACACAATCAGTTCTGTCCAATTCAGACTTGTTCATCAGGTATGCTGACGGGCAGAATGAACTTCCGTACTGTGTCTAGATAAGAGGGGGTTAGGTACTTGTCCATCTCACTGAGAGTCACCCATGCATAGTCCTTGATGATGTTTTGGTTGATCTGGATATCTCCCGACAATAATCTGGCTTTGTAGAAGAACACCTGAACAAAATGGACCAGCCACAAAATAACCAAGGCTGAGTTGAGGTCAAATAGGAAGTACTTGTATGTTTTTGCGACACCTTCTTATTTTGGGAGTACACTGTATGTTCATAAATTCTGGTACTCAAGCTTAGTATCACTATCAAGAGAGTACTCTGACATAGAAACGACAACTTTTAAGACTTGATGGTTAACAAGTAAACCTTCTGTTCTCATTTCACCAACACTCGGGATTCAAAGAAAAAATAACTTTGGAATCTTGGAGCTCTGGAATTCAACAGAAGCATAAACTGACCCCCACAGAATTGACAACATCACTAAACAACATTTTCTTTCATAAGCTTTGGAATTCCTCTGATTTTTTTTACTTTTTCTTCTTATGAAGGGGGGGGCACCATAAAGTTTGGAAAACTTCCCTGAGGAAACAGGAAAACGTCTGGAAAATTTCAAATTTGCAAAAATACGTACGAGTGAAAAAATCTAACTTAAAAGAATGCTTTCCTGGAAAAACCGTCCCTAGGAAATAAAAGTTAAAAAGACTAAAACTATTATTTGTCACCTTCCCCATGCCCAACAACTCATTGTCACAGGGGACTGATTGTAAAATCTCATTTAAATATGCGCAAAATGTTTCAAACAAGTTTCTCACCTTTGCCCCTTTACATTTACTCTCTTCTTGTACAGCGGGGGGATAGACATACTTGTAGAAGGCACAAGGGGCATTACCAAACAAACGGGATCGCCACATTTCATGCATACCGCATTGGGAGAAAAGCACGCGATCCGCTGCCTGCAATGCAAAATATTGGACTCCATTGTCAGAGATATTTCATACTTTCTATTGCCAAATTCTCGAGTTCTCAAGCTCCTGTCAACTTCAACTTTGCTCAGTGACTGTTTAAGTTGACACAAAAATTGTGGTTTTAATGAAGGTAGGCACAGTTGGGTAAAATCTATGTTCATGCTTTCACAGTGGGTACCATCCAGCATACTTGCCTAATTGCCAGGCAAAGCCTGTGGGTAACACCACTATGATTGTGTTATTCCCAGCTGACTGTTACTTCAAACCAAGCATTGTGGATTTTGTAACAGATTTTGTAAACTGACCTGTCTCATGGTCTCTCCATCTTGTCTGGTTTCCTGAGGCATCATCCATAGGCTTTGGTCCCCTACCCTGCACTTAACGAGAAGCACCAGCTTGTCCATCAGCTTCCGCTGAATACTGCGCAGGTCGTCAATGTCTAGAAAAGAAATTTGCCCTGAAGTTCCTCAGAGAGGTCATGTATTTGGTGCCCTGTTTTAGGTTAAGACTGCATTCTTCTGTACATGTAGCTAGGTTTCTGTGGTAAAAAAGAACATTTCTGGTTTGCACATAAGTGCATACATTTATTTCAACTGTAAATGGCTGTACAGCGCGATCGTCTGGTTTAAATGAAACTGGCGACTAGACATACACCAACCAGATCATCTACACTTGGTCAGGACAGACCATACGTAGCTTTAACCCCATGCTGTCGGGTGTTTTTAAAAATGCAGTACACACATACGGGCGATTTTCAAGATTTTCAGTTTTCAGAATTCTTCAAAATTCATCATTTCATTTAATGGACATTTACACCCACACGAATGACTCTATGGTGGCTACTCTGGCTGACAGGAAACCTTCATGGACTCCTGAATATTTCAGCCAGGCCTGCCGCACTGATAAGAGAGCCCAGAACTGTGAGGTGTTGCGTAATTTCCTTTTCCCCAGTCAATGCGAGTGGCGTCTTTTCAAACGCGGCTGGATAAGCATGCAGCGGTGCTGTGTCACTCATCGATGGTGCCCTGGAACAATTTTGTCCGTGGTGCTAATCTGCGGGCACACTATTCCCAAAACAGTGGTATGCTGTTTAAAAACAGTGACGGATTTCCTTCAAAAATTGCAACCCGAAAAATGATGGCAATTCCCAGCAGCAGGTCTTTTGTTCCGAGTATGGTCTTTTGTTACACGGACCAGCTCTTTTGTCCCATTTCGGGCACCCCCGGCTCTGAGTATAATTAACCCATGGTGCTCGAAACGGAGTTCCCGGCAGCAAGTGGTTAAGTTGAATTTTGTGGATCTTAAAAGTTTGCTGAGCACACAAAAAAACGGCTGCTTTATAATACAAAAATGCTTTCCAGCAATGGTCTGTATACCGCTGGTAACTTGAAATCTGCTCAGCATGCAGTGCCGTTTCTCGCTGAGCACCTCTGTGAAATTGCACCCTGCTTCGATATATAGATATTTTCTGCACTACCTGATTTCCGGCTGGCTGGAATGAATTGATTGAGCTCTTCTGTGTACTGATCCTCGAGGTCTAGGGCTGAGACCAACTCTGTGTCGTCATCATCCTCGATGGCACCGCTCTGCTTCTTCACCATCTTCTCTCTGAATTCAGGAAAGCCCAGGACAAGAGGCTAAACACTCAATGTCACTGCTCTGCCTATACTGTGTGGATTTGCCACTTATGATCACCATCCAGAACACAGTAGTACTCTGGCACTACTTGTGAGCGCAAGTGCGTATTCTTGTTAGTAACAGAATATAAACACAGGTATGCCCCTTTTGCCTTTCTGAAATGCACAGCAAATTACTTGTAAAGCAACTGGCATCCTTTCAAATTTCAAAAGGATGGCAGCTTTTGAGCACAGGAGTCAGAACTGCTATAACTATATGAAGAAACATATACAAATTGTGGATGGCAAGCAGTTGCACTTTACAAAGCCAAACCCTCTGAAATCTTTCAAAAGCCACTTATGAAAGTTTTGGAGGATTTTGTGGGATTGAGGAAGGTAGAGCACAGCGGCTGTTACATAACCTGGAGCTTGATATCCATTGTAAATTAAAATATGATACCGTTTGTTTTTAAATGTGTCACTGGTATGTGAGACTCGTTACAAATTTTAAAACAAAGTTATTACTGGTTTCCTACAGAGGGGAATTCCTGAAGATTTCCATGCAAAAAGCCAAGGAGATTTCAGGATTAAACGTGATAGCAACACCTAGGAATGGCGTTGCGAGCAAAAAAACATCCGCCATACTTGTCCTGAATAACCTGCATCTCATGATCAGAAAGAAGACTGTTCTCCAGCTCAGTGGTTTTCAGCAGGTTCCAGTATTCCTCTTCGATGTCCTGGCGGTCCTGGGACACAACTGGATACCGCTCCAGACAAACTGCACTCATCAGCTCCCATTTCGGGGACCTTGACCCCTCTGCAGGAAGGGTTGAAGACTGGCGTCTGGGGGTTGTGTATTTTCTGATGCAGTGGGGATGTAACTTTTGAACAGTGGGTCCTGAGACTTCAAAAATAAAGGAAAACGTGGTGCGATGTAAGAGCACTTCAATTTGTTGTGGAGAGCTTGCATTGTGCAAAGTTATGCCAAGTTTTGTTAAATCTGCTACTGGTTTAGAGATTACTATTATTAAGTTGGGAAAGTATTCTATGTATGGACGCCGCCTGACACCCTTTGGACAAACCCTATGAGACTGGTCTGAAAAATTCTAAATGTTTTCTATGTGAATACTGTACCTCAATATTTTAATCTATAAAAAACAGATGGAAAATCACCCATCTAGACAAAAAGCTTGTTCACAAAGTAGTCGTGGGGCCAAGGATACAGAGATAGGGCCTAGTCACTGGTCCCTGGGCTAGGGCCTACCCTGCCCATGAGGTGATAAGGCGAATAAACCTCCCCATCAGACATCTAACTTCACCAAGAAGGCAAGTATGAAATTCGGTTGTACAAATAGCTGTGAAAGAGTACATTGGCACAATCAATACAGTCAAAATGTATTTATGGCTATCTGTAAGTATCCTGCCCACATGACATGCCACATCCATGGCATCAGGCACATGCCATAGCACGGTCATGATAGTCCAGGCCATGTCGATGACTTTAAAGGCCTAATAGGATGTAACACTGGGGCTGCTTGACATCATAACATAGCAATTTCCTCCCTCAGCATTATTTTGGAAATAGATTGTTCTCTTACCCTTTAAAACTCCCGCTGAGACAAATTTTAAGCTTATACGGCGGAAAATCATTACCATGGGCGCAGCCATCTTGAACGTATTTAGGCCCCTACATTAACTATCTCTTTCTATATCTACTCAGCAACATACTTCAATGACAAAAACTCCTTTAATAAAGAGAATAATTCTTTTAGTACATGATGAATAAATATTTATCAGTTACTGATTATTCTTTTAAATTGAGCTGATTTAAATGTCCCCGTGCTTGATTTTGTGATTAATTTTAGTAGCCCCTAGCTAGCTTACCCTGCACATTTTATGACGTCATCCTCTAACGAAGCTATTAACGTTTTGCCCTGGTCGATGTTGTTTACCTTACGCGTTGTTATTTGTGTGCTGATCAAGACTTCTGCGTGAAATCCAAAATGTCGGAGAGTGAAGGAACTAGTTCTTCGGTATGTGCTCTGGTTTAATATTCATAATTTCAATTAAGACTTTATTTTTGGCAATTCGTTTTCTTGTGACCCTCACAAGTGCACGAAATGTACGTGTGTTATTATATACGAACTTGTACGAAAAGATTGTATTTTCGACATTACACTTTGAAGCAGAAATGTTATTTTTAACAAGGCAAAATAAATGGAACTTATTTGTTATTTTTAAATTTTAAGTTATGAAAGTGGAACTTATTGCAGTAAGCCAATAAGAAAATCTAGGCCTATTTGGAATAAGTGCAGAATACTGCGCCACTCGAAATTTGACCATGACGTGCCTGAAAAATTTTGGTTTCATGTTTGGAGTCCCAACACTGAGAAAAATCAAGTCAAATTTATGTAAAATTAGTGGGGTTCTTTCTGAGAACGAAGAACACAAAATGAATGGGATCATTGAGAAAAGTCAAGTCCAAACCAACTAGGCTACCCTATTGGCAGCTACAAAGTACAATGTTACATGGCCATGTTGGCTACAAGGTGGACTGTTAGTGTTAAGGGCAATGAAGCATGACATGTTGAGCTCGTAGCCAGCTTCAAGGTGGATCATGCAGATGGCGGGGTATTCTGCAATTGTGCCGCTGTGACCTACAAGGACATGAAATTCTGTTTTAGGCCTTATCTTTTTATGACAGCAGAAAACTGGTGCTAAGTTCAAGTGACTGATACGCAACGAGGCATATTTCCATTTTCCCTGGGAAAAGGTCTCATTCCATCACACATTACTCCTGAATTCAACCTTGAGACCAGGGAACAGCATGACATAAAATTAGAAACCCTGACTCAATCGTCACGAGCCCCAAACCCAAAGACCACTGTCCCTGCTGTTCTGATTCTTTGTTGGGTACTTTCCCAATCTTCTCATGAGGGATTTATTGGAAGCTGTAATGCAAAGCAAAAATTCTGATTTTAATTACATCCTTTTCTGGTCCATTTACAGCAAGACGAGATCGCCAGGTCCTTCCACTACCTGCCGGAGAGGCAAGCAAAAGTCGCGACCCTCCTCAGCATGATGAAGAAGACGGACAAAGAGAAGGACAAGGAGAAGGACAAGGAGACGATTGGGGAGGAGTCTGAGGAGCCCATCCAGTACTGCATCTGCCGTTCCACGGATGGGACAAGGTTCATGATGTGAGTAAGAGAAAGGAGCATTAGTTTCCCTGGGGTCTCTCCTCTGGAACCAATTTCATGGAGCTGCTTAGCAGAAAACGCTGCTCATGAAACTTGCGTGCTTAGCAGAAATAGGCACTGAACTAGTCGCAAGAAGTATGAAATGCGTGACATTTTGGCTGGTAACCTATTCTGGTTAGCATATACTTTTATGCTTAGTCATTTTCTGTGCTTAGTACTAGCTCTGTGAAATTAGCCCACCGGGTGGATTTCATGGCACTGCCGAACAATTGGTCAAAGAGAAATGCCGACTTTTGCTGAAAATTGTTCCAACCTTAAGCTTATCTAATGGTGCACTCAAGCCCATACCTGCCTTTGAGTGGCTAAGTCTATCGCTGTTTGGTGAATTTTGCTGCTATACTGAAATAAGCCTAGTCATTGCTATGTACATTTATATTACCACTGACCCTGATGAAAGGGCAGAACTCATGTTGGCCAAGAAGTTGTGTCCTTACCAGTGCTCTGAATTGGGCACCGGACCAACCAACCAGTTTTAAATTCTGGCTCAATGCTCGTGAAAGTTGAAGCACAGAGACCTATCAAGTGGTTTCCTGCACAGTGGGTGCTTTAGTAATGTGCTTGTGGATTGAGTCTAACAAAGAAATTGTTTTTGCTGAAACCAGAAAGTACGACTCGATGCATATTTCATTATAGATGCTGTGATTACTGTGAAGAGTGGTACCATGGAGACTGCATTGGCATTGAGAAGGAAGCCTCCAAGAGTATCAGGAGATATGCCTGCCCTCCATGCACCAGTGAGTTTTTTAATGCCTGTGTCTCAACCAAAGCGTGACATACTATAAGCCGTTTAGAACAGACACATCGATAAGTTTGTAGTTTCAGTGAACTCCTAGATCAGCAATTTAAAGGTGACTGCCTTTTTTCCCTTTTATTCTTTTGTAAGCAGTACAAGCTCTGTTATGATAGAATTTTTAAAAAATGGATTAAATTGTCAGCTTGCCACCAATTGGACGTAATATTTTGTGACTTAAAGACAGTGCACCAATGAGTGCTTGCCCGAGAAAGGCAAGTTTTCAACTTCCAACCATCGACTTCCTGTTTTGCAGCAGTAAAGGATACAAAGCATAAAAAAGTACCAAATTCAAACTTTCAAAATGACACATACCTTCTCTCCAAAAACGTTGCAACTTTTTCACCAAGCTGGACGATGAGTAAGGGAGGACTTAAACTAATTCCCTTTTCCCGTGAAAGATGAATCTTTCAAAGTGATTTTTCAGCAGTAGGCTTTTCCAAGTGAGGGTCAGTGGCATCAGTGGGGGTACATTTTGCATGGAGGCACCAAGGAGCCCTCATTTTGTGGAGGACGGCGTGTCAGGATCTTAACTACCTCGTCCTCATGGAGTGAAACTGACGGAGGCTTACAATGACCAGATTTTTCTCTGGCTCTAATGCCTGATGGGGGGAACGCAGGGGAGAACAGGTCCTGGGGGTTAGGATTGGTCCTGGGGGGAGGATATCCCAAGGCCCTCCCTTTAGTTTGCCACCAAGGAGGGTGAACTGTTGCATATCAAGACAGTCATGTTGTAGGCTTGCATGCAGAACAACACTGGTACTTACACCAGTGTTGTAGTCGAGACCATCACAAGACCAGACACAAGACCAGACACAAGACCAGTCACAAGACCAGACACTAGACCAGACACAAGACCAGACACAAGACAGACACAAGACCAGACACTAGACCAGACACAAGACCAGACACAAGACCAGTCACAAGTAACAGTGTGAACAGTGACAAAGGAATTCTTTTGTTGCAGTTCATTTGAATAGCTTGTGACTTGAATTCAGACTGGAGGTCTTGTGCTGGCCTTGTGTGGTCTTGTGAAGGTCTCAAGTGGTCTCAGCTACAACAGTGACTTATGCTACCCTGTCACTTCAGTACTGACGTTGCCCTCGTGTTCGTTTTACTGCTTGACAGAGTCTAACCCAGAAGCCAAGACCCTGTACAAGGAGAAGCGGGACTCCAAGGACGCAGTCAGGAAGGACAAAGAGCGGGAGCGAGACAAGGAGGACAGGGAGAAGGCGGCGCGGGAGCTGCTCAAGAAGAAGAAGAAGAAAAAGAAGAAGAAGCAGAAGGCCAAAGAGCTGGAGGAGGAGCGGCGGAAGAGGAAGAAGGAGGAGAAGAAAAAGAAGCTGAAGAAGATGAGCAAGGGTGGGACGGGGTCGTCCTCTGAGCGGGAGGGCCGCAAGGCCACCGGAGCAGCAGCGGTGAGAGCAGTGGTGCCTTCTGAAGACTCACGTTTGGTATTACTGGTCTATGGGCATCGTTTGGAAGGAGGCAGTGTTCTTTGGGGGGGGACAAGGCACTCATCGGCAGGCAAGCTGGTTAACCATTAACAGTAGAAGGGGGGTCAATTCTTAGCTATTTTTGAAGCAGCTGGGTGGTTTTCATCGCCTTGACGCTTTTTCGCATCTTTGCCAGTTCCTTTTTTTTTTCTGTCTTTTTCTTTTGTGTTATATATAACCTTTACAATCTGGATGTTAATCAGTTTGATTGCATTGTCTACCAATTTCTTTCCAACAGAGGCATGCGAGACGATGTGGTCAGTGTGGGCCGTGCCAACTTGTCAGCGACTGCGGAAAGTGTGATTTCTGTCTGGTACGTTTGTACGTAAAGCATTGCTTGGGTAATGGAAACCATCACTCGGTCCTTCCACTGGGAAGTTCCCACCCCTCCACCAACCAGGTCTTTCTTCTTACTTGTATCAGAAACTTAATTTGCTAGTGGAGAAAAATATTCCCAAAGTTTTCCAACTCCACTAGGATGTTTTGGAGAATATTGCAGGATTTAAAACAGTAAATCTGAGCTTTTGTTCACCCCGACAGAGCTTTGTGTTCCATTTCTTGAATTTTAAAAGTTTAGAGAATTTGGTGTGGGTTTCTTGCATAGGGATGTCTTGGGGAGATTCTAGAAGGTTCCTAGCAGCACCTCGGCAATGTGATGTGGGTTCGTGTAAAAAAAAATTGAATGAAAAGTTTGTAATATTCAGAAATGACCATGGTAATTGGGTTGAGAATTGGCCTGTAATGCAACAGTGTGAGACAGATTTCTATCGCCTAGTATTAAGTGCCAAATCCTGCTTTTCGTAGATCCAGGCAGTAAGAGCTCTAACTTCCTTTGTGTTCACTGAAAGTTGTGTGGAAGAAAAATATTACATATTGGCAGAGACATGATTCAAAGGACTCTATCTCGTTCGTTCTTCAGGATATGAAGAAGTACGGCGGTCAGAACAAACTGAGGCAGAAGTGTCGCCTGAAGCAGTGCATCCGTCTGGCCAGTGTGAGTCAACTCTCCCTTCCTCTTGCTGAACTTCAAAAATGGAATAATTTGAGTTTGGCTGAGCAGTAGCATGGCGTATAGCTTAGGCCTTAGTCAGAATTTGGCTGTGCAGCTAATTGCGCTATAGCAAAGCGTGTTGGCTCTCTTCGTTATCTGTGTGTGGGTTGTGCATTTTATATTGAAATGAAACCTGTTTGATTTTTTTTTTTTTTTTCATTCTGTGGTCTTCCCGTGCAGAAAGTCCTGAGGAAGCAGCATGCCCCAACCCAATCGGATTCCTGGGAAACCACAAGCGTCGACACGGACACCGACTCACAGAGCGTCTTTCCCGAACGCTACACCAGGGTACGTGACCGCCTTGGACTAAACGTAGATGTTCTACAACAGTCCATCATGGCTCTAGACACTGATGCAAATTTGGCCAACAAATATTGGCCTACATGTGTCAGAGGTTGCCCCTGCTACTTTTTGAGTTCCTGGCTTTCCAGAAATTTCCTGTGCATTGGATACCAAAACGAACTATCCACGCTGTCACTAATGTATTAAATGTCCTTATTCTTCGAGACATTGATTGCAGTAACGAAAAAAATGAAGATTTGATTAAGCTCCTTAAAAAAATGTAAATTACACAAATTGTGACAAACTGCTTGCTGACTACAACGACCTAAATTATACAAGTCCAAAATGGACGAGGACCTGATGTTTCGATCCTAGCAGAACCGTTCTCAAAGGTTCGCTTTTTTTGGCAGTGAAATGTCTGGCCCTTTGACACACGTAACACTAGTGGGTGAGAGAAGTTATTAAGACTGATTTTGCTAACGTTAGCTCAACATTTTGCCGACAGAAGCCACCCCCGACAGTGGACGTCAGCCTGGTGGATCACTACGACTACACCATGAGGCCCGAGCTGGATCCCTCCAGCGAGAAGAAAGAGAAGAGGGAGAAAAAGGACAAGAAGGAGAAACAGCCAGAGGCCAAGGAGAAACAGGTCAGTCCAGGAAAACACCGTTCGCTTGACGAATACTCCCTTCCGTTACCATTTGGGTTTGTGATACGTAATAGAAATTGGCATCTGGTAGATGTAGATATCAATTTTATTTGAGGGCTTCTAAGAGATACTTCACAAGCTGGTCCAGTGTGGACTCCAATCGGCAAACATCTGCCGACTCAAAACTGCTGTACATTTTCAGTGATCATAGCATTATGGAGATGCGATTCCATAATGGAGTCAGAGTAGGAAAGTAGAGCTGCAGGTGTATAATTGCTAACGATGTAGCAAGTACAGATTTTTAAATAGCTAAATGAAACTTCCGTGAACAAGACAATGGATTTCATCTGCACTGATTGTTATTGGATTGAATACACTGAACACAATCATCTGTTATAACTACAGTTTAAAAATACACAGATCTGAAAATTGACCTTGTAAAATTTTTTGGCCATTTAGTATACAGGTCAGTTAACACAAAACAGCTGGAGTCGTATTGCTCATTAAAGTGTACAAGCTTCAATACAAAGGTGTTATATTGAAAACTTCACCTTGATCCAAATCTCTGGGTCTACATAAGTTCTTTTTCTCAAGAAGCCTCCCATTGACAGTTGTCACCTGACTTGTCTCGTCTTCCCCTCCTCACCACACAGAAGGAACCCGAGAAGCGTCCCACCAAGGAGGAGCGCAAGCGTAAGCGCTCGCAGCAGAAGCCGGCCCTAGACGAGCCCAAGTTCAAGCGGGTGCTGCGGTCCCACTCCACCACGGGGGCAGCCGCGGAGGAGGACCTGCCGCAGTGCTACGGGCCGGGCTGCGTCAACGCCGCCCGGCCCAGCAGCAAGTACTGCAGTGAGGCATGCGGTCTCAAGCTGGCCACCAAGTAAGCTCGCAATCACCCTTTCATCCTCAAGTCGGTGTCCTAATGAAATGAGTCAGTTCAGTATTTCAAACAGGCACGGTGTTTCGGGAACAAGGCAGTGTGCATGAGTCGGCATGTGGCTGCGCTGATAGGATACACTATTGTGCATGCTTACTGTTGTTCCCAAAGATCCTCGGATGTGCTTTAGTGTGGGCATGAGCTGATGGAATACCAAACTGACTTGTCGGTCTTATGTTTCAAAACCAATGCAAGCACAACAAGAAAAGGAATTCACGTCCAGTGAAGATAGAATTTGGGTAAACCAAATGTTGGAGGATAATTTTATACCTATCAACCTTTCTTTTCATTGTAATTGTCCAAAGCTTTCATTGTCCATCCTGCCACATTGTAGACAGAACTGGTCTTTTAATAAGTTTGACTTCTGAGGACAGACAGAGCAAACTCCAAAACATGGAGTTCACTAGTTCTCATCAGAAGTTCTTTCACTTACAAAAGAGATGCACACGGTGTGACCTGAAACGTTATCAAGAGTATGTTGACACAAATGCCCCTATTTTTTAACAGTACATGTCATGGTGATTGCTGTGCAACCTGGCTATTTTTATTACATTGGTATAATACAAACTGATTCCTGTAACTCCAGTTTTGGGCACCAGTTTTGACAGATTAATTAATGAGCCAGTTCTGTATTTCAAGAACCAAGCACCTGATGTCATTCCAGGTCAAAGAGGTTCAGTGGAGTTGAGTTGGTGTGCGGCCACACCGATCAGGCTCGCATGTATGACGATGTTCTTCAAGGACACACTTTTGCACTTTTGGAATACCAAACTAGTTCATTGACAAAAGCCATGGTTGCCTTCAAACATTCCGGCCTAAACTCCTGCCTAAATCTGTAAACCTTTGCCCCACTGCGCACCAGCCGGTTGTTCGAGTTCCTGCCCCAGCGCATCCAGCAGTGGCAGCGCAGTCCCTGCATCGCCGAGGAGAACAACAAGAAGTCGCTGGAGAAGATGAGGAGCGAGATGGAGGAGGTCAAGAAGAAGATCGCCGAGCTGGACGGCAAGATTGTCAAGCTCAACAACCTCATCGAGCGGGCCAAGAAGGAGAAGGTGGCCCAGGATCAAGATGTGAGTAGCTGGAAGGGAGTGTCTGTTGGGGGGGGAAGGAGCTTGTCGGGGGGGAAGGGTACCAGGGAGATGGAGGAAGAGGAGAAGATCGCTGAGCTAGAGAGCAAGATAATTAAGCCCGACAACCCAATTGAGAGAGCTTAGATGAAGGTTACCCAGGATCAGGCTGTGAGTACTTTAGGGGTTATTTGTTGGGGACGGTGCTTGTAGGAAGGAGGAAGGGTATAAGGGATGGGGGAAGGAAAGACAATTGCTGAGCTGGACGGCAACTTCATCATTCAATTATTGAGCAGGTTTCATGCTCCTGTGTTCAAGACCATTGTCAACGCGAAGTGTCACAGGGAACTGTTTTTCTTGTCTGTGTATGCAGAGTACTGACGGGGAGAGTGAGGAGGCTGACCTGAGCATTTTCTGTGTATCCTGCGGCCACCCCATCAACCCAGCCAGGGCCCTCAGGCACATGAGTAAATGTTACAGCAAGGTAAGAGCAGAAATCAGGAAGAAGTGAAGTTGAGTGGTCATTCACATTTTCCCTTGTCGAACAGAAGGTCTCATTTTGCTCCTAACTTCCTTTCCAGTGTTTACGTCTTTGTCCAGTTATCGTTGTCTTGCTTTCATGAAGCACAGAAACCGTGGAATTCAAACATGTTCAAATTCTTAAGTGAATTGTGTAACCATGGTCATAGCAACATCCATGATTTTGTAAGTTTTTTGATAAAATACATTTTTCTAGTTTGAAATATTTGGATTTCCTTCGCTGTCCCACAGTATGAGAGTCAGACATCCTTTGGTTCTGCGTTCAAGACCAAAATTGTTGGGTAAGTGTCTCTTTCAGTCTTTATGAATGAATAAAAATTGATTAGAACCTCTAAATCCCAGGCATTTCAACCGGGGAAAATTCCTAAGTCCACCAGACTGCTGAACTGCTTGTCCTAAGTCAAAGGTACAGTCCTTCATTTGCCATTTGTGCATTTTGTTCCTCTAAGGCAGCAAACTTAAGTCAAAATCTAACAAAGAGTTCCAAAGAACAAACTTGACGAAGTTTCAGCTCAGTGAATACTCTATATTCTGAGAAAAATGGGGGCATGTGGCCCAGTGGTTAGGGTTTGTAACTTCTGATCACAGGGTTGGGGGTTCGAATCCAGCTGGTGGCAGCATGTTGTGATCTTGAGCTAGTCACTTTACCCCTATGTGCCTGTCTCCACCCAGGAGTAAATGGGTTATGTTTAACCGTTTGTGCTGAAATGCAGCATTGGGCCAGTATACTCCCCAGAGAGCTGAGATAGTTTCAGGAATGTTCAGATGCTGTGAGCCTAATGTGCTGGGATAATGATAATTAGCACCTCGGGATAGGTTTCTAGACAGATGGCACTTTACCAGTTACCGTTGTTATTGTTTATTTTTATAAACAGTATTCTAGGACTTTGATTTCCTACAAGTTTTCTATACTTGCCAGATATGTGCAGAAAATATGTATGTTTCACTGTTGCACAAGTTCGGCCATGAAATAAAATTGTTTTAAAAGTAAATTGTGTCTTCATTACATTTATATTTGTTTCATTTTTTTTGCCTTTCAAATATTCTTACGTGTCAAACAGAAGCAATTGCTCTGAGTTCGTTGTTTGCTGGGGATAGGTTTGATCTATCTGGAAATCTCTGATTTACTTTTCTTTTTCCAGAGAGTCGATGTTCTGTGATTTCTTCAATCAACAGCAGAACACATACTGCAAGAGACTGAAAGTTCTGTGCCCTGAGCACACCAAGGAACCAAAGGTAATCCTAGGGTCTCACTAATTGTGACCAAGCCCCTCCCCCAACCCCCTTCCTTTGCCTATGTCCCCTAGCTCCGCAAGAAAGTTTTGGAAGATTCTTTAGGACTGGTGAAGGGTATAGTCCAGCCATCAATACTTTGTAGTTAATTGAAATGAGGAATACCAGAACTTTTGACAGACCCAACCCAAACCGTAGCACATGAGAATGCCGACGTTGCGCTGAATACTTACATTTGACGACGTCCTCAGGTGAGTGCTGACGAGGTGTGTGGCTGCCCACTGGTGGCCGATGTCTTCCAGGAGACCCGGGGCTTCTGCCGCGTGGCCAAGAGGAAATGCTCCAAGCACTACAACTGGGAGAAGCTGCGGAGGGCAGAGATTGACCTGGAGCGCGTCAGATGGGTAAGCGTCCACAGCAAGAAACAAGCACTTGTGAATTGGGAGTTTGGGTTGGGGAAAATGAAGTGCCGAAATCTACTGTATAGAATAACCGGCCGGTGATGATGGTCTTGAATGAAAGTTTTGAGCAAAACAAGTTTTTGATCTTGTGCCCAGCTTGGTTTAATGCTAACATAAGCTACTGCACTGGGTGCTCCTGTACAAAAGTTTCAGCAGGGCTAGCTTCATTGCCATGGGCCGACTTCAGTGTGCCCTGATTGGTTATTTCTTTTTTTGCATATTGTGGTTCGCTTTCCTGATGGGCTTTGTTCCTTGTGTTAGGCTTCATCTCTGATGTCAAACCAACTCAGGGATTGCACTTCACATTTTTTCAATGGTTCCTTGCCTTTCAATGGGCACCATTACCGAGTACCAGCTGCAAGGCGTCTATTGTTGGCATATGATGTCTGAGCTTAAAGAAAATTTTTCCACCGTTGAAGTGATTGCATTAGAGTGTTAATGCTCCTCCAGCAAAAGGTAAATTTTTATAAACCTAGAAAACCAAAAAATCAGGGAGGTAAGAATCAAGTGAAGCCAGAGATGAGATGAAAATGAAGCTAAGCTTTGGGGAAAAAAAACACTCTTTGGTGAGCTGCATCTATAAAAGCTCTCTTTTATTTTGCAGAACTATGCAGTAATTCTCTGTTTTTCCGTATCTTTCTGTATTTCCTGTCGTCCTTTGCAGTGGCTGAAGTTGGACGAGCTGTTGGAGCAGGAGCGCAACGTCCGGCAGGCCATGTTCAACCGGGCCGGTGTGTTGGGCCTGATGCTCCACCAGACCCTGGACCATAGCTTGCTCCTACCCCCTGGTGTGGTGCCGCCCCAGCACCAGTCCCAAGTCAAGACGGAATCCTGAGTCTTGAGGTTCCAGGGAGGATCGACAAGCCCCTGATGATGGGCCTGATGCTCCTCTACCAGACCCTGGACCACAGCTTGCTCCTACCCTCGATGTGGTACCGCCCCAGCACCAGGCCCAAGTCAAGACCTAATCCCAAGTTGGAATTTCCAGCCAAGATCGACTTTGTGACTCGGATCCTATTTTTGCCAGTTTGTAAAAATGAAAGTAATGTCAACTGTCACTTTTTCCCAGACATTTATTTTTCTATATTAACTGGCCATCACATTTGAGATGATGTCCAATGCCGCTGTAAAGAGAAAAATGTACAGAAGTTTATAAAAGAGATATTAATTGCCCGACAGTTTTTCTCTTCAGAAGATGTTTGAAAATATTGCACTGCCCTTCTTGGAGACCTGTTCAGGCTTTAAATTATACCTCCTTAATGGGATCTGTTTGTCGGGAAAACTTGACTTGTCAATATTAAAGATTTGAACTGCAGCATCGACTGCCTCACTGCCAGAGCTGCTGAACATGTACATGTTGTCATGGGTCAAAGTTCATCATTGTAAACTGAGGGTTTGCTGAACCAGGGTGGGAAAAGGTTCACATTTGTTTTAAAATGTTGGGGATCAGTCATGTTTTAGCGTCTGTTTACATGTATATACGATTGTTTATATGTACATATTGTGTAATATGACAGCCATTATGAGAGGCCATTTCTGCGGTGGCACAACGCTGGTATGTGCATGCAGCTCGTCTCTTTGACCAATAGGGTGTTGTGACTTGCCAGATGCACGGGTGCATCAAGCTGCAGAATGCGCTCGAGTGCAGTGCCACCAGTTATAGCGTCCAATCAGGTTAGTCTCTAGACTAGTCTTAGGAGATTCCAAAATTGCCCAGTTACACTGCACTCACGCACAAGTTGAACATGTTCTTTAAGTCCTGTTCTGGCAAGTCACAACACGCAGTCAGTTGGAGAGGCACTACGTCTGTGTACAGGCTGTACAAATGCATGGTATCACCGCAGTTATGACGTCTCACTCTGGTTGCTGGATTTTTCTGTTCTTTTGTTGTTTATGGGAAAAGGTCTGAAAATGTAACAATGTCACAGAAAATACCCCCAAAATGGTATAGGAAAGTGCCAAACCTGTAAAGACAGTCAAGTCTCCATTTGTATAGTTTATTGAAAAAGTGCTGTAGATAGTTCTTGTACATTTGGTACATATGGCAGCAATGTTTGAAATAAAAAGCTTCAGGTTTTATTTGCATATTTCCAAATTCTTTCTTGTCGTTTTGTCAATGCAATTAAGCCGTGATTATCTAGAACCAAAAAGAAATAACCATCCAGAAAATTGGGAGATGAACAAGAGCTCAATCATTGTTTAGCTCTCATTTTGGAAAGAGTACCGAAACTATATGATGGTTGAGTTGGTCTTGAATTTTTCATTTTTTAAGAACTTCCTTGAATCACTCTTTAAATGTAGAAGTATTTATCTAGTCTTGTAAAATTGTCAAAAACAATAGTTTACAGAAAGCTGCTCTTAAAAAATTACTCCAAAAGCTCAAGATTAGAGAAAATTCAACAGATATCTAACCAAAATTATTCCTAAAAACACACAGGTGGCATTTAGAAATTTGTATGCAACTTCTATTTTGATAAGAAAAGACATACAAAGTGGATTCTGTTGCAGTAACTTTCTTTTTGTTTTGCTTCCAGTTATTTCCTTCACATTTCTATATTAACAATATTCAAAATAGTAAAAAGTTATCATAGAATTCTTCACACTAAGAAAAATACCACTTATCAAAGGAAATCCTTTAAAATGAATATATTTGAAAAACCTGATTCCAAAACATAATATACTTTTCTAATTATTACTTCAATATATCAAGATAAGCAATTTCTGTAAGCATAAATTTAAAAATAAATTCCACATGGTACCAATTGCACTCTGTACAAAGTTATTTTACGTCAAATGCCATTGCATAAACATTTCAACAATTACTGGGACAATAGTACAAATAAAATCACATGCACAGAGAACACATGGAATGATTTAAAGGCAGAACTGGGTGAGAATTAGGACTTATTCTTTGGAAAAAGCAACATTTATCAAATGCAGAGATTACACAGTAGAAAATGCTACATTTGGACACAAAGACAATTGCATGAAGGCCAGTTTATACCTCAGGCTGGCTGCTTGCAGGGATTTATATTCGCTTGAGATGAAATAAGTTCTTTTTTTTGCAAGTTCGCAGTGTGAATATTTGATCTGATGTCACGAAAAGAGCGTTCATGTTTGCTTCGTCGTCAAGTGTGAACTGACTTCAAAGCAGAACATTACAAAATTGATAGGCCTAAAAGCTGAATCATGCTCAGAAACAAAATAGCATTTCAATTACAGTTAACTTCAAATTACAAAAAGGATCTCTCCGTTCAGTATAAAAAGACACAGTCAGATAATTACGGGTTTTTACCCTTTAACAATGTATATTCACAGCACTGTCTACAAAATGTTATCCATGAGCGCGCAAAAAAATTCACAAGCTTACTGGGGTTGGACTCGAACCCACAACCTCCTACTTACTAGTACAGAGGTCTTAACCACTTAACCACCAAGCTTACTACGGTCAGCTGGCCAGTTGGAGTCAGATGGAACAGCAGGCACACCCCACTAATACATTTCAGATAATATCACACATACTTAAAATAAAGACATTATGGGGACCAAAAAATGTTACTGGGTCAACTTTTACCCCTTTGGTCAGTGTAGAATTTCCAAACAAAACAAACTGTCCCTTTTAATAAAATACAGGGCAGGCCTACCCTACCATACCTGTCCAATAGTTGCGGGAACAACACATAGTGAGACCTAGATGTTGTGGGAACCAAGAACAGTAACCCCTTCGCACCAGGAGGCGGCTATAGCCGCCGTAAAAATTGAGATTCCCAGCCCGCTTTTCAGCTATTATTCTCGGCCCATGCTCGAGCAAACACGGTGAAAGAAGGCAGACCCTGGCTCTTGTATATATGGTAACTGGTCTTCATAATCACCAGCTTCACAATAGTCCCCACTTTGAAAAGAGGTAACGGGAATGTGGAAGGGTGAGTAGAGCTGCATGCCACTGAACACTCAGCCTTTTCACCGTGTAATTCAAAGCGTGCAGAGCACGCAGGGCCACAAACCGAGAATTTGCGGTTTGGCAGGTGGCCTTCGTGGCCAAGCGAGGCTGGAATTCTTGGAGTCGGCTTTCAGGAGGAAATTCCCATCGCCAAGGGGTTAAGGGGAGAAATTCCTGTCCCCACAACTCGTTCTCAACCTTCCTCGCAAAAGAAATGATTCCCTCAAAGCGCTAACGGCCTGGGAAAATAGCACAAATCAAAAGTGCACACACATTTGTAAAATCGCTACATCATAAGACCATTTAGACCTGAGAAATCACCTGTTTTAGAAACACGAAAATCACAAATAGCAAAACATTTATTAAAACAACATTTTGCCAGTACTGACTAGGGTCTTGAGCACATCAAATGCTTGTGTAAAACAAACTAGTAAACAGACTTACACAGTACAAAATATAAGCTATTTGTATTCTATAGTTTTTTTCATAAAAGTCTATAAATAGAGAATCTATGGTACAAGACTATTTCCTCTTCCATGCCTGCATCAAACTAGAAGATTGTCGACATTAGATACACAAATACAACTTTCTCATGTACATGTACAAATTACAACATTCTCACACCAAATCAAGTAAAAGGTCCTTAAAAGGTCCACCATTGACAAGTGGATAAAAGTTGCTTCCAAGCAAAAATAAGTGCTTTGGACAATGGTGGGGACAATTGGGTTGGGTTAGGTTAGGGGTGGGGTGGGTTGGGTTGGGTTGGGAAAAGGGGGGGTTAGGGCTGGGGAACACATTTTCATTTCAGAAACAAAAAGGCATATTATATCATTGACCATACAAAGTGACATGTCTCAAAGTCATTTATTGTGCAAAGACTTTGTGCACAAGATAGGTCAGTTGGTGGTGTGAACCTACCACAATAGGTCAATTTGTGATACCACTGACCACATGAAGCCATAAATAGAAGTCTTTTCACATTAATTAATGTTTAGGGCTTACAAACGGTTCCCAAGACAGACACAAAGCCACAGCAGGAAATGAAGTCGTATTTTGAGAAAGGGCTTATGGTTTGTCAGTGGAATGTTCCAAGGCTGCATCCAAATCTGTTGTCTAGAGCTAGGTCTAGGTCTTCCCTCCATTGGCAATGTGTGGAGATGCATAGACAATAGACCTAGCCGTAGCTCTGGAAGCCCGTTTCGGACATGGCCTAAGTTTGATTTTTTGGGGGGTCTAGAGACAAGACTTAACTTAACGTCACACAATGCTACAGAATTTGGACAGCTTCCGGGTGCTCAGGGCACCGCTCAGGGTGCTGCTGGTGCCAGTGCTGCTGCCGTTGCTCGTGAATGATACCAGACTCCGCCTCTTCTCCCGGGCCTCTCTGTCCCCGTCCGCTTGACCTACGACCTCCTCCCCGGGCAGGTGGATGCGGAGTGCCATGAGCTGGCCGATCTTGGTACAGGCGATGAGCGTTGCTCGGGTCGCCCGGACCGCGGTCAGGTTGGAGTAGGTGTAGAGGCTGGTGGCCAGGTCACCATCAGCTATGCTCCACAGCATGATTTTCTGTGGGGATTTTTTTTTAACCATAGGTGGAAACACAAAAGCTGAATTGTGAAGAGACACAAGTTTTGACGGAGACTAGCACTAATTCCAGATGGAATGCTGAGTTAACTTCATATCATTCATCAAGGGAAAGCACCTTCAGGCAATTTTAAGGTACAAAATATTTGGAAATGCTGTTTAAACAACTTCCCTGGAGGAAAAACAAACAGGCAAGAAAGAGGTGGGAATGCAGGGGCTGTATTTTTCAGGGCGGCCACGTCATGGAAATAAACTCACAGTTGGAAGCAAAATAATGCATTCTTGGGTTTTCAAAATGTTTTCAATAAAAATCTGATTCATCTTTCAGTGAATCTACCAACAGCATTCTGAAAGGAAGCAATCATTGGAGCAAACTCTCATAAAAAAATGCACCTTTTTCTTTTCATTTTGTTTCCTTTTTCAAACATAAACAGCAGAAGTGTCATTCCAGTAGTGGCTGAATACACAATGAGTGATACATATATAAAACTGAAAAGGGTCACACAAGCAACATGCTAGGAATTTGACAATATTCTCAATAAGCCAAACAGTTCCAACGGTCAAACTTGAAGCAGTTCACTGTTAGAGCGTCACAGCCTAACTTGCCCCAAGTAGAAATGCACCCTTACCGTCAACGGAGAGGCGGGCTGGTGGGAATTTTTTCAGCTGAGCTCGTGGACGTGCCCGACTCACAAACGAAAACCATTCATTCCAACATATATTGGTTGTGCATACTCAGCATGCTCCATGACAAGTGCGCATAAACTCGTGCGTTCACGCCACAAGTTCCCACCAAAGGACCATCATTTCAATGTAAAAGCACGCCCTCTCTTGTTCCACTTAGAGCGGATACTCACCCTGTCTGTGGCCCCAGTCACAAGGAAGTGATTGTCTCCAGTGAAGCACATGCACTCGATACAACCAGACTAAAAAAGGATACCACAAATAAAAAAACAAATATATTTGCACTGCTTTCTACTTCTAATTACTGAATAATTGTTTTCCATGTGAAAGACAACCTGCCATAAAGCCACTCAGGGTAATATAATTCTAACTGGATTTATGCTTCAGATGTACTTTGCGTCAGGGAGATGTTAACTTTAAATACGGGTTTCGCCCTTACCGAATGTGGATATTCATAAATACTGTATACTCAGTGCTTGTCCGAGAGCTAGGGGAAAAAAAATCACAAGCTTACTCAGGTGGGACTCGAACCCACGACCTCCTGCTTACTAGTGCACACATCTTGACCACAGAGCTTACCAGGGTCGGTTGGCCAGTCCGAGTCAGATGAAACAGCGGGTACTGCAAACTATTTCAGATAAACTTTGCATTGGGGAGGCAAAGTACATCTGAAAATTTGTTAACAAATATGGCTTGATAAACTTATATGCACTTTCATGTAACTGAAAGAGACTTAAAAGCAAAAAAATATCGTGATTTATAAACAACATTTCAATTAAAATGAATATATCACTTTTTCACGGCTCTTCAGATAAATTACTTGCATAGAAAGAAAAAATATATTTAAAACAGGCAATGTTTGGCAAAAAAATCACCTTAAACTTGTAGAGTTTTTCCATGGACTTCAAATGCCACACAATTACACAGGGGCAATCATACCCAGACGCCAGCAAAGTCCCATCAGCCGTCAATGCCAAAGCCGTCACCTCTGCACTCTGATCTAACAGTGACCCCAGATCAATTACGTCTCCCGAGTTAGGAGACCACTCCCTGACCAGTATGTGTCCAGAAGATGTGCCCAGGATGACGTCCTGCCGAGGCGTCAAGGCCACGCAGGTCACCTCACCCAGCTCCGCTGAGGGGTTGCACGACGTGACCTTCTTGAGCTGCTTCAGGTCCCAAACATAGAGGGCGCTCTCGTGAGTCAGGCTGGCCATGTAGCGGTCGTCGGCCCGGATCCGCAGGTCGCGGAGCCCAGCGTCGTGCCCGGCAAATGTGTGGTGGAGTTTCCCCGTCGCTATCCGCCACATGGCGACTGTGGCGTCACGGCTCCCTGTGAAGGCAAACTCACCACTGTGGCTAAGAGCCAGGCACGTGACCTCGTCGCTATGAAGCTGAAGGGTGTGCTTGTCTGTCCCCGTCGTCGCGTCCCAGACATGGATGTTGTGAACGGAGGTCTTGGCAAAAGGATCAATACCTTTGAAGATGACAAACCTAAAAATAAAGAAATCACAGAATCAAATTAGTACCCAATTATAAAAATAGGAAAATGTTTACAAAATACCAACTGCCACACATTCTTTATGTGGACATCAAAAATGTTGCTCTCTTTTCATACAAAGTTGATACTGACTGGCCATTTCCTCAAAATTCAGTCAGTGCCTCAGCTTTTAGAATAAGGTAAGTTCAAGCATAGGCTATGATTAGCAACAATTCAATCAACTTAGTGGGAATGATTTATGGTTGGACTAGCCAGGCCGACCATTTTGAATCACACACCAGGGCATGTTTGCATGACTGGCTTTCAAGAACCTTCTGGAATTAACGGTGCAAGATGGCAGGAACCACGAAAGCAATGAGAAATGCAACCAACGGGGAAAATCTGACGATGGAATTCCATAAGAAAGTGGTTGGACTAAACTCGTTTGAGTGGGAATGCATTGCACACGGGCAAAATTGTAAGATGCTATTGACTGGTGGCATAGCTTATCCATGAATTCTCCCCAAATCTGAGGTCGGGCAAACCTCTGATCAGCCGTCACCGCAACCATGCCGCTCCTGTCGCCGAACGTCATCCTCCGCTGTTGCAGGTACTTGGGGGAGATGTCCCAGAGCTTGATGTAAGGTGAGTGGAGGGAGGCGGACACAACCAGCTGCTTGGCGAGGGCCAGGTGAGAGACGATGGCCTGCTGGCCTTCCAGAGTCTGCACCTGCAGGACCCGAGGTGGAAACATTGGAAATTAGAAAGGGGCGACAAATCCACCAAGTGATTTTAAAGAATATTTTGGGCCGGCGGCAAGGACAACCCAGCCAGTTACTTACATACACTGGGGAAATGGGTGTCGGTCGGTCGGGGAAGGAGTGAAGTCTTGTCCCCCCCTCCAATTTTGAAAAGCGATTGGTGTCCAAAACTGGGATAAATGCCCTTTGAAAGCTTTAGTACGTCTTGGCTTTATACACAGAAAGGTTCCTAGAAGAGTATCGAAGAAATCAAGGTTAGGACCCAACAAAGCCACCCAAGTTTGTATTTGCCTGCAACTGGGGACCCCCTATTGTTCCTCTTTTGTTTGTACTTAAACTTTTTAAGAAGACCACCCATATGTTTTGTACACAGTTGTCAATCGGGGACCCTCTGTCAATCGGGGACCTTATTGTCCTCTATTGTTCAAGGTCCCCAGTTGAATGCAGAAACAAACTCTGCAGACTGTTTCTACATAATATCTTGTTTCAATAAAAGATAGCTCCTGTCAGAGTAAAAACTTCCAGACCATGTCAAGTGAAGCACATCTGATCAAATCGCTATGACTTGCCTTGCGACCCGAGGCCATCTCCCAGACAGTCATGATGTCATCACGGGCCCCGGATACCAGATGGGTGTCGTCATGGGTGACGGCCACACAATCGACAGCCCCATCATGACCTTTTTACAGGTTAAAATACAAGGAATTAGTGGGCAAAAATCTCTCTGTAAGCGCGACAAAATCTAGGGGCATGCAAGCATGCATTGACCAGTTGAAGTCTGAAGTCACCCTCTGTTCCTCTCTAACGGAGTGTGTACAAAAAATGTTCACCGCTTCTCAAGATTTCCTGCTATCACACAAGCGTTTGGACAAGAGACTGTTTCCAAGTAAATCTGCAGAATCAACTCCACTGATTCTTGCCATCTCTTAGCAGCTTTCCTAATTCACAGGATGGGCTAATTATCGGATGTTCAATGTGATAAAAGGCAACTTATCTTACTTAACAAATTTTTTCTGGAATGATAAATCCACACCTGCAGTGGGTGACAAAAAACTGTTCTCTTTTCTTTGCTTTCATGTCGTATGTTTTTTAAACACCTGATTTGTATATTGGGAGCCACTATCATTCTCAACAGGAGCAACATTTGACAAGGAGGGATTTTTCAATCGAGAGCCGACTTCTCTGTAAGCTGCGTTTTGAAGGGCACTCCACTAAACTCACCAAATCAAATCTAGGCATAAAGCATGCTGGTTCACATGCAAACTACGTAACAAATGAAATCTGGGACCATGAGACTGGACCAAGGCGATGGACGTGCAGGGATGTTAATTTGGCATATTCATCTTTTTCTGACAGTAGCTTAAAGACTGGCACTGACTGCAGTTAGAGCAAGGCAGGTACAGGACGGAATGGTAAGGAGTGATTAATGGGTGGTGGGTGCAAGCTCTGTGGTATTTGACAGATGTCAGGAATGCGGTGTTAGATAAATGGGTATGTCCGATGTGGGGGGATGCATGTATTTCATGGGTGGGGTGTTTTTTGGCAGGAGGGATGCTTGATGTTTGAGATGCGCTTGATGGTCGGATGTGTTTATGGGTAGTGGTGTGGTGGGTGAATGGGAGGTTTGATGGGTGAATGGGTTTGATAGTTGGAGGCATTTGATGAAGGAGGCATGGGGTGAGGTGCCAGACAAATGGGGATATGTCATAAATGGATGGGGTATTTGACAGGGGTGTCATGAACGAGATGATTGAAGGGAATGTCTATTAAATGACGGAATGAAGTTTATTGAAAGAATTGGCCAACCACTTCACTTTCAACAAACAATCACTTTTTCATGCAGGGATTTCAACATGTCAACATCCACAGGGTGCCTCACAAAAATATCCCTTTTTTCGTTGTCTACAATCAAATTAAATCAAATTAAGAGGTTCCAGCAAACTATCTGGCAACACATCAAACTCACAAGCGATCCTAGATGCTGACCTTACTGGCAAAGAACCAAAAGCTCTCCACAACAATTCAATTCCTGACAGGTATTTCAGGGAGACACCCACTATACAACATTCCATGCATGCTTCAAAGAACAAGTCGTGTTTACCATTATCCTGAGCTCATCTTCAGACTAAGAGCAGAGTGGAAAAGATACATCTACACATGACATTCAGAACATATTAGTCAGATCTCCCTGACACTAAAAAAAATGCTAACCATCAAGATCATGATGTAAGATTGTTGAGAAGCTTGCAAAGAGACATCTGAAATGTAAACAGCCACTCAAACACAACTTACGTTACCCCTCTCCCCGTAGAAGATGATAACTCTAAAAGAAAATGTTGTTGAAGGATTTGTTTGCATCTCCACAGCAACAACAACATTTATAAGGATAACTCTTTTATTTGTGATAAAAAACACAAAGTCTGTCTCCACTGGAAACTCTATCTTCTTGAAGTAATAACGTACTTGACCTTGTTTATCTAATGACAACCTTGACCTTTACGCTACTATTTTGTAAATTAAATAATTACAAATTTTCCTTTCTTTCACTGATTTTTAACTGCAGAGTAAATATTCCAATATTGGATAATCGATCAAACATTTGAGTATTTGACAAAGACCTGTCTCAGAATTACAGTTTGCTACTCCAGCAAATTTCCCAAAGCAACAAGGCCTCATAGATCTTTACACTGACCTTATCACATTCTGGGGGCAGAGTTCAGACCAATCAAGAGTTGTTTTTGTTGGCACTTTCCCCCTGAAATAACCAGCTTCGAAACACTGCAAGCCTTACCTCCAAGTGAATGCAGCAGGCGACCCGAGGCCACTTCCCAGACGTACACGATACTGACCGTGCCGGCAATGACTCGCGTCTCGTCCCAGCTCAGGCAAGCCGAGTAAATCGGTTTTTCATTACAAGACTTGAGCACGTGGAGAGTCTGCGGGGGGAGTTTATTGTCAGGCGGATGCAGCCTTGTTATGATCTGTGAAGCAAATGTCATATTATTTGTAAGATCACTACATCCCCATTCCAATTTTTTTAACCACTTACCGACGCGGATTATTCCACAGCCACCTTGCCCCAGGCAAGGTATTATTTTAGGCCCAAAACAGTGACTTGTTAATATAACATGATACCACAACCATGGTCCTTTACAAAGTGTGACGTTAAAAATGATGACCTTTGGTAGACATCTGTTCAAGACTTGAGTGAGATTTTTCACTGTATGGTTGCTTTTTCAAAACTCCACGACAATACTACAGAACAATACTTGTTATAACGCCCAGCCATGGCTCTCAGCCACTCAAGGGCTCTACACACTCAACTTTCACAGACCTTGATGAGCCTGTGTGTGAACAAACACTAGGGAATCACTCAACCCTGGGGACGAGTATAGATGTCACCAGATTGTGTTTGAATATTGTGTGTTAGGACACAGGAAATCCCGGTATATTTACACATCATCTGGTGTGAAGTGGTTCAAATTCCTGAAAGTATTATTGGAGGTTATGACATCATTTATACCATTTCTTACCAACGTTCCATCCACTGATGCAGACACTACCTGCACGTCACATGTCAGGCCGACGTAGGTCACATATCCGGTGTGCGTAGTGAGGTCACAGATCATGTGGTGGCCGACGAGGGACCACACCTTCACCGCGGCATCGTCTGAGCCAGTCACTGCGTACCTGTCATCCTGGCTTATGCATAGGCATGAGATGAGCGCCGTGTGGCCCCTGAATGTGTGCAACTTGTCCCCCGTGCTGATGTTGTAGACCTTAAAGGAGAAAGTGAATAATTTGGCGTTGCGCCATGAAGTGATGCATGCAGTGGCTTTGGTACACCACGAAGTGACATTCCGTACATAGACTTTATTTCTGTGTAAAATAGGTCAGCTCGTGGTGTCCCTAATGCCTCAGCTTGTGATGCAACCAGTGAATCAGAGAATGAATAGGCTCTACGCTGGAACTTTTTAGGGAACCGGGCGAGGTTGCTTAGACACACTCACCATCAGATCATTCTCTGAGGGTGAGATGATCCTCGTTGAGTCATGCGTGATGGCCACGTTGGCATGCCGCGCGTATCCCTCGTGGTTCTCTGGCACTAGCAGCACGGAGTCGCCACTGAGCACGCTCCATACCTGCAGGTAGTTCTCATCTGACCCGGCCACCAGCCACTGGTCGTCTGCAGAGATTGCCACACAAGCCATGGCACCTCCTGTCAGTGGTAAAGTTTTAGTGGATAGTTAGTGGATCGTTCGCTGATGTATTTTGCAAGTAGTTCTGGTCAGCCAGACATATGACCAAATGAGCTGCACTTGGCTACTACGTCAATGAGTAGCTAGTTGATGGCATTAAGCAAACAGAAAGTGCTAACAAACACTTTAATACAAACTCTGACTTGATTTTAAATCTGATCCTAGTGATCAGTCTCCTACTATTTGGTGAGTAGGCTCCAATATCCGCAGAGATCGAAAGCTGATTACAGCTGATTGTTTTTGAATGTCACTGAAGGAAAGATGAGTTACTATTAGTAAAATGAAGCCTAGTCATCAACTGATAACTGAAAATCTTGGAATTTTTTGACAATGGACTGAAAGTGCCTTAAATACCAAAACTGTTCGTCTCAGTTGTATGTACATGTGTGTGAGTCTCGTCAGTTCCACTCAATATCTTCTGCTCAATCCATTCAGTACTGAAAGTGAGTTAAGCATAAACTCTACGAAACTTGAATGAAGCTCAAATGATCGCTGGTGTATCTGAAGACTCTACCTTTCTGGCCTTTGAGGATGTAAATGTCTTCATCGTGTTCCAGCTCCCACAGCCTGACGGACCCATCAGCAGATGCAGTGGCCAACATGGAGCAAGACTGGTTGACTGCTACACTGAGGATGATACCTGAAGATAACAGGGGCACAGAGAATAGGACATTTTTAACAAAAATGCTTCCATAAAAAGTTTTATATTTTTTTTGCTGAACCCTTTCACATCTGGGCCCAATTTCACGGCGCTGCTTACCGCAAGCGAGAAATTTGGGCTCATCATAGCAGAAAATTCAGTGCTTACGATGAACGTATGTCACAGGTTAGTGAAGAATTTTGTCTTGTGCACATGCATACATCCCGCAACTAAGGATTCTGTGCTTAACAGGTTAGCACAGAATTGTTCTGCTGGCGTGGTTAGCGCAGAACAGAGACCATAAGCGCGGAATTCTGCAGTAAGCAGCGCCATGAAATTGGGCCCTGGACACAATTGGTTTTTTTTCTGTCTTTCACAAAATGCTGTCATATTAACTTGTGCATTTTGGTCTGAACCCTCTTATACAGACTGCAAGACGCTCATCTGTTCAGGATGATGCAAACCAGTGTCTAGAGGTGGTTTAACCCAGAGTAGAGCCAACTTCAGACTTTGGAACCAAAATGGCTGTTCATTATGTGTGGACTGACACATAATCCACCATTTTGTTTCCAACAATTGAGACACTCATGTCACAACTCTCTCAATAAACAGGTCTGGGTTAAACCGAACACAGCCCTTATTCCTTCATCTGTTGTAAGACTGAAGAATGTTTGGGTTAACATTTCTGAGGATGGGGGGATATCACGTGTCTGTGTAGAAAAGTAATTTTTTTCCAAAAATGGATAAAGGGGAAAAGGGATATTAAACGTGGTAACCTGAGGTTTGGCAAGGTTTTTGGGGAGTAACTTAATTTTACTCTCTCCTAATGCCCCTCATTACCTGCCTTCCATTGACACCCCCCACCCTTTTTGATATCAACACTTCCAAACCCCTTCCAAATGACAAAGCCCCACACCCAGCCTCACCACCATGTCCAACCAGCGTGGTGCGGAGCGGCCCGCCGGGCATGTAGAAGCAGCTGCGGGTGGGTACCAACAGGATCTCTTTGGCCGGACCGCGGCCGCCACACCATTCCCTAGCACCCTGAACGATGCGGCCCAAGCACTGCGGGTGGTCCCCGGCTAGGTGCAGGAGACGCCCTAGGATCTCCACGGCCAGGGGCTGCTGGTTGTCCTGGAAGTCCAGCGTGGATTTGGCCAGTCTGCGATTGACAAAAGAAAAGAACTGAAAGAAAGAATTTTTCCAATCTCATCTCTGCCTCTGGCTGTGACTCCGAATCAGGCTCTAGAATCACCTAGCAACAGGAACCAACAGTAAATAATCCACAACTACAAGTCCACAGCATGCATAAGTGATATTCAGCACTTTAAAGCACATATTGTTCAATGATAAATCAATGTTTCTGTGGCAAAACAAAGGAGCTGAGCTGAGCCATCAAAATAATTTTGTCCTGAAAAAATTAATTTTGTAATAATGAAGCCTGAAACCAAGGCAAAGACAAAACCCAGATTTGACAAACGTAAAAAGAACAGGTTCAAATAAGCCCTTTGCGATTTAAATTTGAATAAAATCTGTTACAATTAGATATCTGATTGCACAGAAATGTAACAATTTTAATTCCCCTGACTAAACACACTGTTGTTGTAGCTCGTGATTTGGGGCACGCTTTTGCTGAGCGACCACCAACTCTGGAATGGACTGGATCCTTTGTGCCGTTCTTACCCATTGAAAACAGTGTATTGTTGCAAGGCGTCTTTTACGTAACTAAGCAAAAGCTTGCCCTGAATCACGAGGTATAGCAACAGTGTTTTTGGTATGAAAAACTCAAATTATGTTTACATGAATTCAAAGAACCAAGTGTACCAGATTTTATTCAAATTTAACACGCAAAAGGCTTATTGGGAGGGAAAAGTATCCCTGAAAACTCTGCTTGGAAATTATTTGTCCGTACAAATTGATGATAAAAACATGGCTTAAATGATGACCTTCGGCCAATGGAAGTCTCACACACCGAAAAAACAGACATGCAGAATGCATCTATTTAACATTATAAACTAAGTCTTGCATGATGTCACTGGCACATACACTGGCCCTCTCCTGCTGGTGAGCCTACCTGATAGTGTCTTGTAGGAGTTTCAGCTCTGTGTGAAGACTCTTCCCCAAGATAGTCTCCTCCTCCAGGACCCAGCTCAGCTCCTCAATCAGGTGCTGGGCAGAGAGGGCGAGCGTCATCGCCTCCAGGAAGCTGAAGTTGCCGAATGTGAGCTGGGAAAAACAGACAATAAAGTCTGGGCGGGAGGGCTAACAGATGTGGAAAATACAAGCCAAACACTGACACATCCCTCTTTTTTTTTATATATATATTTCCTTGTTCTACCCAACACAATGAGGTGAAACAGGTGCGCAGGTTTATGAGGACCTTGTGGCTTTCGGAACTTGACAGCAAACAGTGTAATATATCAGTTCTGAGGCAGTACGAGCAACTTTGTCCTGGATCACATCCGAGGTTACTAGGCCTTTGGGTCCAGTTAAATGTTGGATCTTCTTGTGTTTATGACACTGTATCGGTAAAATGTTATGTGAGATGTTTAAGCAACCTCCAAACCCAAGTACTTTGACATTTTCCAATCAACATCCCAGTTAAAAATAAGTGAGTTATCACCAAAGCGAACAAGATGGCTCTGCCGGTTGGGTGCCACGTATACCGGAGTTCACTGCCTAAATTCAATTTTTAGACAATTTTTGGGTTCACCTACGCCAGACTTTATCCAATGATGTGCGTGTGGCCTACTTTTTTGGACTAGCCCAGTTACATTTATCATGTAAGCATGTAGTGATAATCCAATTGCACTTAACAATAGCATTTAAGCGATTTTCCAACAACAACTGTCTTTCACAAACCCTGATGCAAGCTTGCACTCACTGAGACAAGTTCTTCGGTGTTGTGAGCATGCAGCAAGTGGTAGGGCAGTTCGCTCAGCTTGCGATGGTTGTAGGCCTTGTGGCGTTTGAGGGGCTGCGGGGCAACGAGGCGGTCTGCCTTGTGAACCTCCTCCCTCTGGGTTAGATTCAAGGTCTGCAAACAAAAGAGAGAGCAAATGAGATGAGTTTGAGTATGGCACTGTCCAAAACCAACTGGATGTGGCTAGGAGTAAAGCACTCATGTATGGGGAATGGTCACTAGCCAGAGGCTTTCATAGACGCGAGCGTTATTTCAAGCCACAGCCAGGCAAATTTAGCTGTGGCTTATACCAGTGAATCCTGCAAGAGGTGATAACCCTGTTTTCCTCATGTAAAGTCATTTATTAATTGACACCAGATTTTTAAAAACTTTTACGCAAACACTCTCTGACGAAACTACCTATCAACGACAATGAGGCTGTGAATGTACAGATATGCATCGTAAACTCAAGCAATGGCATCTTCTGATTATTCCGTCGTCAAACGTCGAGGTTGCATCCCACGAGCATGACTGACCTTCTTCTGTCCTCCGCTCCACGTTCCGGCAAAGAATTCTGCCAAGACCTGGTGTCTCTTCTGTTTCTTGTCGGGGTCGCACAGGTAACGATCCCTGGCAGCCTCTGTAAACTGCCTGCGATATCAGGCCCCCCAAAAAAATGGAGTACGTGTGGCGTAAGTCAGTAGAACAGTATAACAGAACGATATGCTGGCAGAGCACATGTTGGAATTAGCACATGGGCACACTGTGAATGGGGAGGGGGCAACGGGAGAGTTTGCTCTCCCCCTTGGAAAAAGTGATTTGAATTATTTAAAAAGCAATGGGAAAAAAGGGGGCGACGCAAAAAGGAATTACAAAAAAAAAAAATAAAGGAGATGAAAATCACCAATATGCTTGAAAAGACCTTGAAACTGACCCCCTTTGACTGTTAATGATTTATTAATTCGTTCCTGATAAATACTTTATCCCCCCACCCAAAGAAACATTCCTGGTGACACCCATGAATTCCCATCGGGGACTGTGTGATTAATATCCAAGATGCAGACTACGAAGTGACAAAATAGGACAACAGAGAGAATAGCAAGGAGAAAATGAGGCAGGATGAACTGTTTGGCACCTAACTATCAATCGCCGTGGGGCATGGGGGTGGAGTTTCTTCTAGAAAGTGGACGGGAGGGCACAGGACGAGGCCATCCCCTCCTACCTGTGGTACAGCACCATGACCGTCTTGCCGTCCGTTTGCCGCTCCACGAGGTACTCCTCCAGTTCGTACTTGAGCCTGGTCCACATTAGCGGCGGGATGCGGACAAACTCCTGGCTGGGCGGCGACCAGTACTGGTAGATCTCGTCCAGGACTTCGTCATCAAGGGACAGGATGTCTTCCAGCTCTGAATGGCTCAGCCCGTTCCTGGGGAAACATGTCATATTTTCTGCTATTACGAACAATATTGAAAAGGTTTTTTTGTAAATTGAAATTACCCTTTTTATAGCTGCAAACGCAATAGCATTGTAAGTTATGTTTAAGGTATATTTACCAAATTTTTTTTGGTATTTACCGTTGCATATCAACAAAGGCCCATTTTATTCACACCAACCAGTCAGTTTAAATTCATTTTTGGCACAACTATTACTGAAAAGATTACTATCCAATGCTTATTGCTATTCTATATCACTGTGCAATATTAAATGCACACACTTCTCAAAGGAAGGAAAATGACCTCCAAAAAAGCTTGGTATAGCTCAAATACTAAAAAGATAAATTTGAAATTAGCATCGAAACCTAGTCCAGCAGTCCTTTTGAGTACTGATGAACTGAAAAGAAGGAAGGGCATCCAGTTTCCAACAATGGGCTTGGCAAACAGACGTTTGAAAGCTCTACTTTAATGCCAATTTGAAATCCGTCAATATCAACGCACCTTGCGGCAGTGATGTATCCCAGAGCGTGCGAGACCACTTTTGTGCCAAATTCCACCTCCAGGCGAGCAAACAGCTTCCAGATGGCTGCCCTGATGGTAGTCGCCAGAGCCTCCTCCGTGACTTCGGTGTAGGACCTCCATCGACGAGCCTCCTCAAATGCCAGCTTCAGGAACAGGGGCTGTCTGCAGTGCCTGAATGCTGAACGAAGACAACACAGTCTTCGAGTTAAGATCAGGGATAATCGTTAAAGAACTGAACCCCTGTCTTACTGACTCCTGCTCGGCCTGCCCTTGAGGATACTGCTCATGTTCATCATGAACAACAGCTTTCTGCCTGGAGTAGATTAAAGCAGACTGCAAACGCAATACAACTATCACTGAGCAACTGCAGGACCTCAGGGTCTGCCTAAAGAAGCTGCAGGTGACTCTGGACCAATTACTGTCCAAGGGCGTATCAATGGAGGGCCTATAGAAGCCATAACCCCTCCAGTCACCAATTTTTCTTTTTTTGGGGGGGGGAACAATGAGAAAGGAATACCTCTTTCATTTCCTTCTCTTCAAAAAGCACATAAAAAGCCCTAAATGTGGCCTTAGCCCTCAGCAAGGCCATAAATTATTAGATAATAAAAATTTCCAAATTTCTTGCCCCCCCCCAAGAAAAACAGGTCCCTCCTTCCTCCCTCCCCCCCTCCTCGGAAAATGTGGTGCTGGATCCGTCCTTGTTATTATCTTTAATACTGGTGTTTACATACATCTTTCAGTGACCTTAAGCTGTTGGTACATGTACAAAACTGAATTCATGACTGAAGCAAAAGAACATGTAGTTCAGTTGTGTTTTTATGAAAGTTTAGAGGCTTCGCGTTTGATCCCAGCAAAATCTGTTTCAAAACTTTTGGGTAGCAAGAAATCCTGCTAAAATTGTTCTTATATTTTATCATTGGCATGTTTAGGGGTCATTCTAGGGGTCATTGGATTGTAAATTGAAGTTTTGTACTGCACCGGAGGTGCTTTGATGGAAAATGCCACTGTCTTTTCATACCTTTTCGCACAATGTCCGCCTGGCCCTCAGTGATCCGTCTGTGAATTTCCTTCATCCAAGTGCCAAAGATTTCAACTCCAGTGCTCTCCGGTAAGGGATTCACCTCCAGGAAATATCCATCGGCTGCAAAGAGCAACCTCAGGTTATCCAAGATCCTGTGCATGCCTGGGAGAGTGGACAGGACAATGTGCACGTTGGGTAGGTACCTCTTGGGCAACCACTTGCATTTGTGTGCCCCATGAAGACCTTCCAGCTGATCCAGCGAGTCGAGGACAATCAGCAGGGGACGCTCTTTACCACCATCTGCCGAGATGGTTTGTAGCGTGGCACCGAAGAAGGCCGCCATCTCCTGGAAGTTTTCCAGGACGTTGTGCGAGGGCAGCGGGAGACTGTAGACGGCGCAAATCTGCAAGCAGACGCTCTTCAGGACCTGGAGGATGGAGGAACTGTGGGAAGAGGTGCCCAGGAAGCGCAGGACGACCACCGTGGAGGCACCCAGGCATCGGCGTGCCCTCTTGGCAACGACAGCCATTATAGATGTCTTGCCGCTTCCCGAAGGACCATGAAGGACCACAACACGGTGCGTGGTACCCTCTCCGACGGCAGCGAAGATCTTTCCCAGGGTGTCCTCGCAGCCGCAGAAGTTCTCACACTTGTTACGGCAGAACTCGGCGTGGTGGGAGATCTCCTTGAAGAGCCAGTCCTCACTCAGGCTCCCATCAGCTGCTGCCTGCTCCTTAGCCTTGACCACAAGCCTCTTGACGTCCTCCACGAAAGCCCTGGTGAACTGCTTCATGTAGCTCCGGTGGTCGGCGTCACTCAGGGTGACCCCCTCCTGGGTCCAGGAGATGCTGTAATGGTGGATATTGCTTGGGCTCAGTCGGGAGGGGATGTCCATTGTCTTGAGCTTCTCCAGGAGCTGTTGGGCCTCATCATCCAGCTGGCCATCGCTGGTCATGTCGCAGTAGCGGCTAGCGTTAGCGTCAGACAGGGAATTACAGAGATTATTGAGAGTTCTCATGAAACCCACGCAGTGGTCATCTGGAACAGGTACATCAAGGGCTGCTCTCAATTCTTGCTCAGTGACTGCAGAGGAAACCAGATTGTCAAAATCACATCGTGCCAAGTGTACTGGATTTCAGTTTTCAGCATCAACTATAAGTGCATTTGAGTAACAAGGGAAATGTTAAAACTGCACTTCTTCCCATTTGTTGGTAAGAAGAAGATATCTTTACTTCAAATATTTTATCCAATGAATAACTATGAAAAACTCTAATAAGTACAAAGGAAATTTTCATGGCAAAAGCTGTAACATACACGAACTAAGAATTTCTCCATTTTGGAAAAAAAAATCTTAGCATTAATTCTACCAATTGGCAAACTGTTCCACTTTAATGTTAAAAAAAAAAACTGTTTATCGACTTGTATTAGTTTTACTCACCACCATTCTATCTTTAGGCACATTTACCTTCCAGGAACTTCAAAAGTTAAACATTGATTTCAGAAATGTGACACTTGGGTTTAATATTTGACAATTTTAATGGGCTTCCGACTAATAACTGGTAGTAAAGGAAACAGGATAAGCTGATATACAGAGATTTGGTTATCACCTGACATGAAAAATTTGTGCCGCACTTCATCGTCTATCTCCCCTGCCTTGGCTGCAAGTGTGGCAGCCCGCCTCAGCACATTGGGCAGCTCTTTCCCAGCTGCTTTCCACTGCTCAGTTTTCTCTTTGGTGATTGGCTGCAGCGCGTAAATGGGCGGGTCCGAGTTCTCATCCAGGAGATACCATTCTGCTAACAGGGCGGATTCCTGGCCTGTGGTGTATTTCAAGAGGGTCTGATAAACTTTCGCATCTATGCTGGCTGGGCTGGGTCTCCAGCCATATCGCTGACCGAGAATGAACTGCAGTAATTAAGTAGAAAAAAATGTATTTAGAACTTCAGTTTTGTGAAGGAAAATCCAGTCCTCGTCCTTATTGTTGAGACATTTGGGAACAAATGTTGGTTTTTCACAAATGATGGTTTTGTCCAAATCTTAAAAAGTCATATTTTGAATCCCCGTCATAATAGCCAATAAATGTTAACTTACCTTTGAAGTTACCAAAAGTACTACATGTATGTGGACCATCATTCACAATTACAATTCTGACACTTGTTAAAATCTAAGACATAGATTACATCCAGGTTTAATATACGATAAAAATACACCATTCCTATCAAAATGAAGGAAAGCAAAAGATTACTTAGACTGGAGCAATGCAAGTCGCGACCTAGTACAAAAAAAAAGTTGCAAAAAGGTGAACATTTCTTTTACAATTACAAAACAAGTAGCAATTCTTTCTGAAATGCTTTCAGCACATTACAGTGTTTATTACAGCATACATGTTTTTGTTTTAATAGCAATGATCAATCTTAACATAAGATTAAGATGAATCTAAACAAATGAAAGAGAAAACACACCATAAAGTTCGGTCCCAGGGACAGCCTGATGCAGTTCTTGATCTCGCGGATGCAGAGGGCCGTGGTCATGTGGAAAGCGCTGGCTTCATCCCGGACTCCCCACCTCATGTCCACAACCTGGAACTCCAGATCGTGTAAAACGCACCACTCGTGAAGGGTGGGATACACCCGGTCCAGTAAGGAGTTGCGCTCTGTGACCGTATCTGCAAACAAATTTTCCCAAATAAAAAAAATTCATAAAAGGTTCTGCCAGTTGAGTTAAATTAATTTTGAACAATTGAACATAAGCGTTATAATTAAAGCTGTTTTCCGTCTTATATTATAAGTTTAGTACTGGAAGTTGTAAATAAAGCAAGACCACCGTGCCAAATTGCAACTGCAAGTGGACGTACTAAAATTGGTTGGGTTTGACTGATTTATTGTACAGAATGTTTTTCAAATATTTTTGTTAAATCTCTCTTTCACAAAAACATTTCAGACTATTCGAACAATCATTGCAGGCTAGAACCTTGCCCAACATTCACTGAAACAAAACCACAAAGTGAAAATTACCCAGAGCAAGAAAAAAACACTTGTCATCCCAAACAAAGGTTGTTCTTACCTCCAAAAGTAGAGCTGACAAAGATCCGGACAACTTTGGATGGAATTGGAGGGATGATCTCTAGATCCCCAGCCAGCACGGCCATTTTGACCTGCTCAGTCTTTGTAGTCATGATGGTATTATGCCCGTTTCTCCTATTCCACAACAAAAAAAGATTAAAAATTTCAAAATTTGGGAAGGGAAATTCATTCAGTCATACATTTACAACATTTACTCCTTAGAGTTTGCAAACTACGGTGTACATTTGCTGTATAAATGTGGAATATCATTTCATACGCAATCAAAGAGGGCCCCTTCCTCCATGGATAGTGTGAGCGCCTTGTGTACAGAACAACAAAATCACAGCTTTGCTTGAAAGCCAAGACCAATGAATAAAATTTCTCCAAAGAATTGGCCACAGGACGTTGAGAGCTTGTGGTTAAATGTACACTTGCAAAGCATCAAGCGTTCCAGAAATTCACCAGAATAGTGTGGAAAATTATGGACCCTCATCTAATTGAACCTTATAACAAGGAAATCTGTAAAGGGTGCCAGTAAATTCTGCACCAAGAGCTTTTAACTGGTACCCATGTTATCTTTTGTGAACAGATAACCAGAGAAAATCGACCACTAGTTGGCAAATGGTCTTCGCTCAAACATTCCCCAGGTTAAACATTGACTACTTGTATGACAGACACAATTAATGATGTCAGATAATGTACTTACTGATGGTAGGGTGAGATTAACAAGTTACAGTGATCAACAAAAGAGGAAGAGTTAAAAGTAAATGAGCTCGGGCTTGGACTCGCCTTGTTTTACGTGTGTTCCACTTTGTATCACTGACAAAAAGTGACAGTAATAGTGACCCTCAAAACAGAGAAAAGGTGAAGATAGTTAAGGCCTTAAAGGGTAGCTGCAATCAATTTGTTTTAATTAATAGATACAAACCTTCAACCTGCAGCCTTTGTAAAAATACTGGAAATGTCTGAAAGTTTGACGTTCCTAATGATAATGTGTATTTAGAACCCCAAATCTTCTGAGAGCCAATAGGTACTGGGGTAATTCCAGAAATTAGGGGTCCAAAAGTGTGACCTTTTTGAGTCCTTGTTACATCTGACCTTTGTTATTTGATATGGAAATATCATCGGAAATGATTGCAAACTATTACTACTTGTTTGGCAGGTAGTTTGTATTAATTCATCACTCATGGAAATTAGAAAATGTGTTCCAAACTTATAAAATCATATGTCAAATGTGACAGGGACACACAAAAATGAACCCCTAATTTCTGGAAATACCCACAACACAAGAAGAGAATGTCTTTATTATCATCAACCTGACACTTCTGTAGTGTAACTGTATCCCACGTCCAGCAATATTATGAACCTATTGACGAGAGGGAATCAACTTCCTGTAAACATGTGCATTACTGAGCTCAATGACACAACCTATTGCAAAAGATTGTCAAACAAAATACTTGATCCCAAAGATCCAACTCTGTTCTCCTCACAGGAATCTGAATGCCCCAGCAATAGACTGACCTGTAGCTGGGACAACCACAACTATTGATACATACATGTATATTGCCATGATAGTACAGAACGTATGCAATGAAAGAGTAAAAAAGCAATGATGGCTGATCGTCACTCTTCACTTGTTTAGGAAAAATGTACACAGGCTTTTAAACCCCTCTCCCCCTGCATACACTTTGTATGCTCAAAAATATGAGAGAAAATACATGTAGGATGATCCCTAAATGGCCAGTCCATTTCCAGCACTGAAGTTGAGATCGTCAGAGTGTGGTTAGGACCAATTCAAATAGTTTGGGTGGAATTATTTACTTAATTGTCCACCTTGAGGGGTATTTGATCAAACCAGAGACCGGAGGTTATCTCGGCAAGAGTTCCATACCTGGACGCCACTTGACACCCTATGCACAAACCTATAAGACTAGTCTGAAAAATTCAAAGTGTTTTCTGAGTAAATGCTTCAACATTTTCTCAGCTCAGTTTGACTTTTAGGACATGTCACTTTCTGATGAGTGATATCCTACGACAGAGAAAATTAGAGACATCTGTGTATGGAATTCTTCCAATCGTGTCATATCCACATACTGGTGGTTGGTCTGTTTCATTACCTCTGCAGGGCCAATGTTTCTTTATCGCCAGCACTGACAGACAGACAATTAGTGAAATAGAGCAACTGGAGGTGCACGTCTGTCACTGTAGTGTAAGCTTGGGTGACTCTAACTCGCATGTTCATGGCACCAGGAAATTGGCCAATTTCCCAATGTCATGAGTAAGATGGATTGAGTTACTCCATGTAAGTAAACATACATTGTGTGTGTAGCGCAGTTGAAAATACAGCCATGCCTCGGCTACATACCTAAAACACAAGACATTTTCAGTTCACAAACATGAAAAACCTGTGCCCAAAATGACCCCTTAAGAGTTACTCTTGACCTGGTGAGTGGTGATATGACCCTTTTTTTAACCCAAATTTTGCAGGTCTAGAACTCCTTGTAGCACGGAGTTCCATGCCAAGCCACCATGCTTTCCAACTTTTATAAACATGATAAACATTAAGTTAACAAGCTTTGGAAATATGATAGGAAGTAAACTTTTCCTCTGACGCTTTCATTTTTTTTTTCAAGATTGGACTTGTCTAAAGATCACATTTGACATGATTAAAAATACAGGGTGAGGTAGAGTTTGTTATGTTCAATGGTGAGTACATGTTGGTTGGACATGGAACTCTTGCCTTAAAATTATGTGCTTATTTTTATCTCATAAAAAAATATGAATAACCTATTTCTTTTATTTTCCATTTTGGCACTCAGACTTCTGAATGCAATATTGTTGCATACGATCAGATGATATAGTCAAGCACACACCTGTGCGGATGTGCAGGTGCCAAATTTGTGCTTGAAAATGTTACATTTGCAACTTACTAGAAATATGTATACTACAACTTTACAAGTATTGAAGTAAGATGAAAGGTATTTGGGGGTTGGGCTATAATTTATACTGTTAAGACATTAGTAAAAGTTTGAAGTGTGTCAAACAAACTGCACACTGGTAGGGAGGCTTGGCCTATAAACATTAACCGGTTAACAATATCACATTTTAAAAAATATTTTCGTTTGTTTCTGTTTTCAGAATATTTCATTTGGGGACATGTTAACTGGAGCCTGGTGTGGTACTGACACAGATACAAAACGGATATTAATTGATGACTTACCAAAATGAAACATTGAGTTACAGTAGGCCTAGCTGAATTGCGTATATGTACATGTATAAAATCATGTAACACGTGTAAGTCAGTGTGAAAAAACTGCACTTGTTGACTTTTTCAGAGTTCCCTGCTCACGCAGCTTTGGTAAAGAAGGCGTCACATCGGTCACGATGTGGAGCTCCTGCCTCCATGCTGTTAACCACGGAACAACATATCATCAACGTTATTCCTGTTTAACCCCGTGGAGGCTTCACACACGAAATTTTGCAGTCCACATCCTCCACTTAACGTGCACGCAGTAACCATGTACACAAATCTATAGCGAACAAACAAATCAGTAATAGTATGAGGACTGTGTGCACTTTGTGTTTGTACACTGTACTGTTATTTCATATATAATGTCGTCCTTGCATGCAGCGTCCGTGTTAACGAGCTGAACAGGCTGACACCCTGCAAATTACCTTTCAGTTTTTGCGTACGCTAAGCCTGGTTACCAATCTCCGTTCTATTTATAAATAACAAAAGCTCGACCCAAAATCTGCTGGCCAATCAGAAGTCGTGTTTGACGGTGGCCAGGGACTGCGGAGCGTCATTCGATAGCGTGTGAATTTATTAGCATGTTGCAAAAATAACTCACCGTTTAGAAAACCGCAGCCCCCCTAAAAGCTCTCCTTTAAAGATGCCCGCCCTCCCGAGAAACCCTTCTTCATTGACCAAAGAGCGTCTGGCAGAGGAACTCAGGAAAAACAATATTCCTGTGCCGAGAGGAAGGTCGAAGAAGGAAGTTTACGTGGACCTTTATCGACGACATCTCCTCGAAAAAGAAGCCTCAAGCGGCCCTCAGGCTCAGCAAGAGTGGACGTCCTACCGGAACATGTCGGTCAACACTTCACCCAAGCTGGGGTTTTCTAGCGACGAGGAGGATGAAGTTGTGGTTCAGATCAGGAAGACGCAGGTGAAGAACGTGAACAACAACAGGAGTCAGGTGAGCGTAGTCAGGTGGTGATGTAAATGGAGTTTGACTGTGATTTTACATTGGCTAGCAGAACGTGTACACATCATAGTCTATGCATTAAGTTGCTGCCATTGTGCCAACAAAAACAGTTATGACAGTTGAGCATATAGCATCTTTGAAACGGCCCTATCGATTTTTCACTTAGGCCTAACGTTATGCTTAAAACGTGTGAATGAAAATAGCCTTGGGATTGCTGGCGCGATGGCGGGAACATTTGTTCACTTCGTTTCGTCATGCTCAAGGTAGGGCCTATATAGTTAGCCGGTGAACTTCAATTGAATCAGATTTAAGCTTGTCAATGACCTTGCAGTTCACATTTAAGTGGGTCATTCTAGATGGGAGTGCATTAATCAGCAGGAAAGCTTAGGGAGCCCAAAAGCTCAAAATTGTAAAACAAAACAAACAAATAAACACATGAGAAAAGACTACAGCATCCTGACTCTCCCTGGTTGGTTGTGTACAGTGTCTAATATTGTGGAGAGTTTAGTGCAGTTTAAGTATTTTAAAACAATTTGAGGAAAGAGTTCCAACTTATATGGACATCACATGACACCCTGTGCACGATCCCTATGAGACTGGTCTGAAAAATTGTGTTTCCAACTCTAAGTGAATATTTGCTTTCACATTTTCACTGCTAAAATTGACTTGTTCGGACATGTTATCACTTTCTGATGGCCAATAAACTACTGGAAGGGAAAAGTTGTGATGTCGGTATATGGAACTCTTGTCCAATTTGAAATTTTTTCAGTCCCAGATTCACGTCATTTCAACAGTTAGTAATGGCTGACCATTGAGAATATAAGATGAAAACGGTGGAAGCGGAATGCAACCTTTTTATCTAAACCCAAATCGAGAAAAAAAAATCAACTTAGGTCAAGTTTAATGTTTTGTGCCACTATATTAAAAGAAAAAAATTGTAAACAAACTGTTTGTTTCTGTCTCTAGGGAAAGTTTACAACTAGAACCTAGTACCTGCACCATCTGATTTCATAAAAGTTGAGAAAGTTGGTTGATTTTCTTATAAGAGTCTTTTTGATGACATGATAGTTTTCAGCCCAAAAAAGCCCAATAAGAAGTGTAGAAAGCTTTACATCAGTGCAAACTTTAAAGGCAAATGCTACTTCTCATGCGGTTTAGTCTAAAAATGCAAGCATAACAGACTTGAATGCAACTGAATTATCCAAAAGTATCCTGTAAGTTTATTTTTAAAACAACTTCAATGAATGAAGTGATCAGTGCTGTAGATTACCCAAAAGGGCATTGTCTCAAGTGGTATAAATTATGCTATCTCTGTAAACATTATTTTTCAATCATACAGTCCTTGTGTTAGTTGTTTTCTTCATTTGGAAGGGAAAGAAGTGTGTCAGCTTGTCAAATTTTATGTTAGGAGTAATTCAGAAAAGTCTGTCATGCCTAAACCAACTAATGCCACTTCTAAGCTGACCACAGGGAGACCGTAGCTCTAGAGTTTCTGCATTAGCCTTTTTATTTGTGGTACAAAATAGGTTGTTGTAACAAAGGTTTCTGAAGTCAGTGCAAGCTGCTGTTGTTAGCTGTAGTATGTTGTGTGTTGCACACTGTACATAATTATTAACTTTGAACTCATAATACTAAGGGCATCGTGCCACATCTTTTGACACAAAGTCAACCCGTAAAAACTAGTCACTTGTGCCAACTCACCCACAATTACCTTACATACCTAGTGCGGACATTCCTTTCTTTTCGTGCTGTTAAGAAAACTCAGTGAAAATACTCGTTTGTCTTCAACTGGGAACATGATTTTCAGCTGGCTTTTTGTACAAGGTTTCCTTGACTATTCCTCTTTTACGACAGATGACCCCTACCCCAAAATGGCTCTAAACTTCTTTTTCAGAAACGGGGAAACGTCCTGTGGACGTGTGTAAGTCCACAGAACGTCTTCCTTTCCTGCATCGTGTGGACATCTTTTTTATTTACAAGTCCACTCAAGGTACATGTATGTAAGGTTAGCACACCCATTCGGGTAAAAAAGACACACTCTGTGTGTGTGACCAGTGGGCCAGTTTGGTATTTCAGCAGTGCTTGCCTAAAATGAAGCGCGTCTGCAGTCATGACATTTGGACATGCAATGCAAGGTCTGCCCAATTAGCGCGGCCCTACGTGGACTCACACATATGCTTTGTTCCCGAATGACCGTGCACCTTTAAAATACTGAACTGACTCATTGTCAAATAAATTCCCCACATGAATTTTTCCTGAAAACCACTGTACTCATTGTAAACTGTAAGCCATTTGCTAAACAACTTGTATCATGGATGCATAATGCACCCCCCCCAAAAAAAAAAAGTTAAACTGGAGACTGTCTCCACCTGTGAAACAAAATAAGTTTCACTTTCTGCTAGGGGCTGGCTGGATTTGACAAATGCATGCATGCAGGTGATTAATTAATTAGCTTTAACATGCAATACAGAATACCTTGTAAACACCATAGGCATGTCCATGTATACAACAATACTGTAACCTACTGTGAGTCTGTATCCCCACTCCCCAGCGAGGTCAAACCACAGTTGGAGGGGCAATAAAATTCACACCATCCCAATGAGGTTTAAAGGGTCTTGTTCACTGCCTGCTTAGGGGTTTCATGCCAAATCACAAAACCGCAAGTGTTTAACTACAGGTGCACCATACTATTATGGAGCAAAGTCCAACACCTTTGGGTTTCGAGTCACGATGGTATGATTGTCATTTTTAATTTAGACCGGGAAATCCCATTTTTGTTTTTTGTTTTTTTCATAAGCATTGTAAGTGAATGAGAGGCGTAATCAAAACTTCTGAACTGTTTCCAACTTGTAACCCAAAAACCTGAGGATGGTGTGGCTGTTTTCCGTTATTTTCTCAAATACTATCATGGACATTGGTGTACTGAAAAAAAAATGAGAAAGTTCATTTAAGATGTAAACACTTATTGTGTTTGCTTTAGAGGGAAGAAAAGACTGTCAAAGAAAACACATGAAACAACGGTTAATTAATACTTTCATATAGAATGAAAGTGTATTTATCAGTCTATCAAATTCTAAGAGAATCTCACATATCTCACAGCCTCCCTGTCATGTTTGCTTCATCTGAAAATGGATCGTAATGGTAAAACTAACTTATGGTAGAAAACACAAATGCAAGCATGGGGGGAGGGGACAAAGCTGCAAAGGGCTCTTATAACATGCCGGTGAAATCCTGTTTCAAACAAACCAATATATTGCAAGCCCTTAGATACTTGAGTTTGGAGAAGTTCCAAAAGTGATCGCGTGACTGGTCAAGTGAGACTCTTAAACCTGCTTCTGAGGCACTTATGCAAAGCAACGGCTTACTTACCAGATTTTCTTTTCACTGCAAGTTTGTTCACATTGTTTGGACTCTGCTCGCTAGCTGTTTTGTTAGGATGCAAAATTCTTGGGCTCAGAGTCAAGAGTCAAAGGTTAGGCAGGGGCTGTGTGCTGCAGGTACTGGGTCCACAGAACCAGACATGATTTGCAGCATTGTGTACTTTACATGTACATATGTTTGTACATTAATATTTTTGTACATTGCAGTGGCAGGTTGATGGGTATACAGTAGTGCAGGTCCCTTGGTGTAGTAGATGCTGGATGATGTCACCGTAGAACTTTACCTACTTCAAACGTGGTTTGGAATTGCACCCTGCATTTCAGCCCCAGACCTGTACTGCCCTGTCACTGTCCACATGTCACCTGTGCCCTACTAGTAACTCCTGTGTACCGTTACTTCTACATTTAATCTATATGTGCAGGAAGTAATCTGTTGAAGTATGATTGTCTATCATTAACTGCTGGTGTTACCCAAAGGCAGAAGTGAATGAAACAGTATCTGAACGTTAATACAGTTGCAAGGTATCATGCAGTTTTTATTAAATCAAAGTAAGATTTAAAGGTCACAAAAATACAAAATTTCTTGATGAGATACAAACATGTAAAAGCCTGTCAAAAATCACACTCTGTCTTTTTTATTTTATGAACTTAAATCTAGCTGCTAATAACTGATACATCCTATTCTAGTTATGCTCTGTTTTTTTTGTACATTGCTGTCAATGAATTTACAGCTGAATTCCTCTTTTTTGAAGAGAAGAGTTTCAGGGATCCCTGTGGCTTGGCTTAAACAGGTGATGCCTGGAGCAAATGATCCAAGCACTTGAGTACTGATGGCAATCTCCTTACTGCCAAGTAGCCACACCACACGGCATCTCTTTGGTAAATCAAACACATCTCTTTGGTAAATCAAACACAGACCATCAAGGTACCACCCTTATGCCCATGCATTGTAGGAACACAATTACCAAAAAAAACCAGCTGTTTGCCTGATATTGCCAGGGTCCCCACTCCAGAAATGGCTTTCGCAGAACCTTTGTCCTGGCCTTGGATAACATAGGAAGCACAGCCAGCTTTGTCCTTGAAGCCCTCCAAAGGCCACCCCCCAAGGTTGCCCTGTGTGTGCTTGGGGTGTTTGCTTTCCCTCCCCCCTCTCCCATGGCTGTCTCCTTCCAGAATCCAAGGAATGCAGGAAGACACAAAAATGTTGTTTGGATTGAATTGTCCAAGGAAGTACTGGGGAGAGCGTCATTATTACTCCCGCTGGGCTGCACAGCTTTGGTGGCTGTTGTTGGAGTATGTGATAATTTTATGCAGTAATGATGGAAAGATTGTAGGTCCACAGTGGGTTTAAATACAGTTTTACCTGCTTCTCTGCACGCAGCCATTAAAAAAGTCACATTTGTGGTTTACTGGCACATTTCTGCAGGATTTTTATCAGTCATTCAGTCTTCTTTCCGTGCTTTCTATATCAAAATACTTCTAGCTCAAAGTGGCAAAGGACATACATACGTAGATGTACATGTCAGCCTGTTATTTCTCCAACATACACTGTACATGTACATGTATTACAATGTATTATTTATTACTTGCTTTTATCCACACACAAATACACGTAAATGATTTTAATGGTGATATGAGGAGTGTTGATCATACGAATTATTTTCTTTATGCAACTTTCTTACAGTGGTATCCTGAATAATAATTTGGATGGTTCTTGGACTTATTTACCCTCCAAAAATGTTTACAGTTTACAGGATTTGGAAAAGGTCAGAAACAAACAAGTCATTAACATTGAAAGAAGCGTGGCCGTGTATTTTGTCTGAATGACTTGGCTGCAGCCTGAAACCACACACAATTCTGTGGGAACTGGTTGCAGCCACTGTAGACTTCATGCATAATGGTGTACACAAAATAAAGTACATGTATGCACGTTTTATTAATTGTCATAACCCGAGTTATTCATTTTACTTTGAACAGAAACCTGTTTGAGATCTTGGTCAGTACATTGTGTCTGTTTAGTTAACCAAAAATTTTCATACAGTGAATGAATATTGAGCGTGGAATTTTTTGGGCCTGCTGCATTTCACGCTCCATATGTAAACAAGGGTTGCAAGGCCAAGTGTAAGGTTCAGGTCACAGCAGCCATAATCCCACTTGACATCATCTGATTGATTTATAAGGGGCCAGGTACTCATATACATGTACCTCTTGGATAGGGTTGTTACCACATCTTGTTGTGGGAAGCAGAGTTCAAGGAGCAACTCGTGTTGGTGGAAAGTTTAATACTTGGAATTGTGAGTGTGCGGAATTCCCCCTAAATTTTAAGTCAGGTTTTAAAACTTTAGTTTCGTCCTGTTCTTTTGAATAGGTTTTGTGCTTCAAATACTGTGGGCTAAACTATGGAAAGATTTTATGGAACTTCAGCTTTTAATCAGTTGGATGGTAGTGCATATTTCATTCGGTAAACCAAGTCTTAAAATTGAACGGAAAGTTGCTGTAGCCAATCGGAAACAAATAAATACATGTACATTGTAATATGACTTTTGGGGGGCTGTAAATTAATATGTACCTGTAGTCAAGCTAAAGGACTTTTATTCTATAGTTCAGGTGAGTTGTGACTCATGATGCTAGTACATTTTCGGTCAGCCAACCTGTCGTAAATGAATTTGTCCAGCATTATCAACAATCTTGAACTGTTGGTTTTTCTGAAAAGTTAAAAAGCGTGCAAAAATGGGGTTAAAAAAGACACAAACTTCTACATGTAAAAGTTGCATGTGCCTGTTGTAACTGATCAGTTTGAACAACTGTGCAGACTACTACTGGGTCAACTCGGTGCAAACTGTAACGGTATTAGTGTTAAAAACAAAAGCAACGTTAAAAAGTTGCACACTAACTGATGAACATATTTTTTCTTACCTTCCAGTACTTGGACAAGTTTGCATGGTGTTACTATCAACATTTTGGGGGCCTGAGGCGCATCAGTAAAACCTTTTTTTACCTTTTCTTGGTCCAACCTGAAGTATTTAAAATGCTAAGTTTATGGAGTTGATGGCGGCAGTACTGATATTTTAATTTCTGACCCCTTAAATTTCTTATCTCCTCCTGTGTTCTATTCTTGAGCAATACACCGAGGCAAGTCGGACAGTAACTAGTACAGGTCTTGACAATAGCCCCCTCTGTTGTTTAAGAGAGACCATGTGACCTATGACGTCTGATCTCATTCATTGCAGGAAATCCCCATCTTTGTGCAATACACATAACATGTACATGTTTTACAGTCTGGCAGTGTTTGTGCATGATAAAAATCACATTTAGGGGGGGTGTTTTTTTGCTAGTCGGGCACATATCTATACAGGTGAAGTTAGAAATTCACAATGTCTCGGGTAAGTAAAAAGCAACAAGTTAATGTCAGACCAGACAATTTCTGTTTAAATGACAATTTCAAGGTCACATTTACTACTGTGTTTTCCAAGTTGAAAGGAAACTTGGTTCTTGGCATGATAGTTACGATGATCGTTTTTCGTACATTTTTCCATAAAGAGGAAAGCATCCAAGAAGGCCAACAGAAGCGAGTTTGAGGACCGTCTTGCTGAGGTGGAAGGGTTGTCAGACACTGACCTCAAGAGAGAACTGCAAAGTAGGGGGTTCAAACCCGGCCCGATTGTAGGTGAGTCACTCTGCCAGTCGTATTGAGAGATATATGCGAATCTATTAAATGATCCATATTGCCGTACACAATCTCTTTTATTGAATGCTGTGGGACGTAATGTTTTGATACCCCGTGGACTCGTAGGGTAAAACCCCGGGGTGCTATGCATCTTTGAGGGTGTTAAAATATCATGTCCCACATCACAGTAGTCAATTGTTTTGTTATACCTCTGTCTTGGATTCTTTGTAATATTTTCCTCACCTGAAGGCCTCCAGTGATAATCAAAATGATAAGCACACGTATATGTATCTCAGTTCGTTGCTGGGAATGCTTTAGTGCTGTATAAATTGCATCTGCTAATGTTTTTGTGAGGAAGTTCACAAAAAAGTGTAAATATCACCACGTCTGTGAAGCTGAATGTATTCAAAAGTTTTGTTCATGTTGTAAACGGGTTTCACTGGATGAGGCACCTTATGTCATTCCGTGACACTTTGTTTAAAAACACAATTCAAAAAATGTGCCCCTGGCCACTGTTCCAGGTTTAAGATAACATATGTAGGCATCAGCAGCTGTACACCAAAACGGGTTGTACTGCAATTCGGGGAGGTCATTTGGCCCAACGCGAAGTCTGTAGCTGTTGAGTCACTGTCCAGAATTGCTTGACCACGCAGCCACAACCCGGGCCGTGTACGAGAGGAAGCTGGCCGATCTGTTGTTGCAGCCAGAGCAGGAGGGGGCGACAGAGGAAGACGAAGCAGACGGATCCCAGGAGGAGATGGTGAACGAGGGGGACAGTCAAGAGGACAAGGACCAGTACAGCGACTCGGACGTAGATGGTGAGACCCAGATAGGCGATGCTTGTGACATGCAAGGAATTCCCGGAAACTCGCCTCCGAAAGGCAATCTTGTGTGATCTGTTTAACCCTGCAGCATTGCATTTGTTTCCCTCAAGAAAATCACATGTAAATTCTTTCATTTTTATGTTACAGGGCCTGTAGCATTTGATACACAGTAATGGGTAGATCCAAAGAAAAAGAAAGAAAAGGAAGCAAAAGTCAGTCAGTGCATACAAAAAAACTACTTGCACCTACTTCCTACCAATGTCCTTCTGTTAGGCACTAGAGAAATATACCTATACACCCACACAGCTGAATAATGGTCATGATATACCCCCATTCCGACTAACCATGAGCACAGCTTTGAAGTCATTGACTTTTGGTTGTAATTGCAGAAAACACACCGGATACGCTGCTTCTCACAGACAGCAGTGGAACACGTGAATCATTGTCCTCCTACAGATCTTCAAGGTAAGGGCTTTGAAGTGATCCAGCACTGCGATGGGTATCTACGTCCAAAAACCGATGGACAGAATTTGTTATAGGATTTCATTCCATAGCTATAATTGAGATCCATTTACTCTAAGGTGTCTCAAACTTCTTTAGTAATGTTTTGCATTTTTCACCTGCTGACGGTAGTTCTTGCGCTCGGACTCCATTCATCCGCTGATGGATTTGACTGGTGATCTTTGTTCTTGGTGATAGCTCCATCTGGGTTTACCCATTTTGCATAAATGGGAGGCGGCAAGGTTACAGACAAGCCACTGTGACGAGCTATAAACCTTTGAACTACTGCTGATGCCTAAAACATCGCGTAGATCCAAAAATTTAAGACTGCCACGAATGGACACTCCAGTGATTACAGTAATAATATCACAGCATGTACAAGGTGCACAGTACCTGTATCTATCAGCATCTTAATCAAAGGTGCAGATATGCCGTCATTATCCCAGCTTGTTTGGCGCACATCTGACCATACATCTCAAGTCCCGGGAATGTTCAGCTTGATGCTGCTACTTGTATTTCAAGTGCCGACAGCGACTCACAATGACCATGTCTACCTCAGAGGTACCCATTTATTTCTGGGTGGAGAGAGACATGTACAGGGGTAAAGTGACTTGCCCTGTAGGGGCAAAGTGACAAACCTCCACCCCAGGATTGGGGAGCTACAAACCATTACCCGCCCGGAAGCATGACAAACACCAATTGAGATTTTAAGTAGGGCTGAGTCAATTCGAATAATTCACTGCTCGAGTATTTGATCTTCAATTTAATCGAATATCCGAATATTCGGTCGTTCCGACCAGCAGATTGTTGCTGTACAAACCATAAACAAAATCAGTTGCAATGACACACACAGTTGTACATCATAATCACTATAGTAGCTTCTCACATAGATGAGTATCACCAGCCACGATTTGGAAAGATTTATGGAGGAACAATACTTCTTGCCCTGTTGAAAATTTCTATTCCTTTTAAATTGTTTAATGAACAATTCACTTCTTGAATCGTTTTAAGATTTCTGTCACTTTTCATATGAATCTGCTTGAAACAAGCCTCCATAGTGCAATTTCTCCCATTTAAAACAAAAAGATTTCCCTTCCTTTTCATGAATTTTGCATGCAGATATTCAAATTCGGAAAATAGTATTTAAATGTTTGATAATGGATCGGATATTGGGCACTGCCCTAATTTTAAGTCAGCTTTAGTTAAAGCTGAATTCTGGTTCGCTATGTATCAATACCTTGTGTACAGTATACTTTCGATACAAACATGTTTCTTCTCGAAACAGACACAAGTTTGCCCACTCCCAAGACTCTCTGAAACAAAGCAGCCAAACTGTAGTTTTCGCTTTTTCATCTCCTCCACCACCAGCTCCTACAAATCCCAAGTCACGCGGCTCATGGACCAGGAATCCTCCTCCAAAACCAGGCAGCGCAGCGTCACCCCCAAGAGGAAGGCAGAGACTGCATCCACAGTGACCCAGAAGACGGTGATCAGTCAGAGGAAGGAGGAGAAGAAGGAGAGCAAGAAGCCGCTGATCCCCATCTGGCTCCAGATCCTCATCTTCCTCCTCGTCACTGCATTCCTGGTCCTGGTCTGGTACAACATGGAGACAGCCCAGTCCGGCAAAAACCTTGTCACAGATGGTTGAGAGTATTCTTTCAGCGGTTGTTACTTTGACGGTGACTGCGGTCCTCGTTTGGGAAATGACTCTACAGAATAAAAAAGTGCGTTTTTGCTGCGCTGAAATGTAAATACATAGGTCCCGTGAACTCACAGTCTGAGTGCCATATCTGCTGTTCTACGGCTCCTACATGGAGTTCAATTATGACTTCACCCGCTGCATATGAAACAGTAAATGAACTCTATGATAAGGGCTCTGTGTTTGTAGTTATCTTTATTGTGCAACTCTACTTGTTTATGTTCTTCTCCCCTCTGAAAGTGATGAATTGGGACATAGAGAAAATGCCTTTTCTTTGAGCAAGTTCCGTCAATAACTGCAGTTTACCCGTTGTCAGACAGACTGTTTGAGTGCAGTATATGGGCAACAAGGGCTGAGCTAGTCTGCTGTTTGGAAACCCACCTTTTCAACCTTTTGTGAATGCAGGCTTTTTCAGCATACCTCATGCAGATTCATAGAGATTGATATCAAAAGTCTGGATGCGCAGACCCATACTTTGCTCTGAAGAGCATACCTTGTAAAGCCCGGTTTCCAAATGGTCGTAATGAACGCTGACAGCACGCAAGACGTCAAGGCGCAAACGGTCATGGAAGAGACGCTGTGTGACGTCATTCCGCCCAAAAACTTCAACAAAATGAGAGACAAAACTCGGGAAATCTTTTGCATAAAATGCCTTTTTCAGGTGACAGTACCACCTCTTGAAGCCAAACTGATACTCCAGTTGGATGTATTGTGCTTTTGGTCAGTTATTTTGTTGACAATTGGGGCTGCACACTTGAGTAATAAGGAGAAAATGGACAAAATGAGTGCTACTATGAGAGAGGGACATCGCTGTATGCCAGTCATGCTAGCATGGGTGTTTGTGGTGTGGGCTTACTCAGCGACTGGCTCCGGACGGTCGGTGAAGTCGAACCAGGTTCAGCTATGCCAGTCCGTCTGGGGCTGGTTTGCTGTGTCTGGGTTTATTGGCAACACTTCCGTTTGACAAGTTTCCATATGTCCGCATTGCAGTTTGCATCTTGATTGCGTTGCTCTCTGCATTTCTCACGTCGAAATGGAAACCAGGCTTAATAGCCCAAATTTCATTTCAGCGTTCTTGGCAGACTTGGATTATAAATACGTGTACCTACACTGTACACCCCTACTGCTTTCAGATATCCCAGAAGTGCCCATACATGTAGCTTACCTTCACACTTTGGATATCACTTTCTTGTGTTCCGATTCCCCTTCAACGCTTTCAGTTATGAATTGTACACGTACACTACTAGTGGTTGGTTTTCTAATTTCCTTGACAGAAAAAGAGTTTCAAACTCGTAGCAGGTCATAGGTATTGAAAGAGTACAAGTGTACTTGAAAGGTTTTATGTGTTATTGCCAATAACTGCATTTTAACCGCTGTACATTTCTCGGTGCGTCGGAGCAGAACGTTGTGTATCACAACTGCCGCAATCGGTTTAGGGTTAAATGCAGCACATACTAATACCATCAGACAGTTAAGGGTAGTTCTCTGCAAAACAGACAATTGCTGGAGTGTTATGTTAAGACCCTTACTTAAATATCCCATAGTTTGTGAATCGCGACGTGATGAAAATAAGCAACAGAGCCTCTGTGGACAAGACATAAATAACAGCAGGACAGAAGAATCATGGATTACACAGAATGCACTATCACAACAGGCAATTCATTTGACCCTGAGGTGAAGGATCAACCAGAGAAAGGCCATGTCCGGGCCGTGTCCGGATGACGTGGCTCACGGCTTGCAAAATCACACCTGCTTATAAGCAATGGTTAAAGCCAGATGCTCATCGGCTTCTGAAAGTTGAATGTGTAATTTTCTGCATTAGCCATGTCATTTGGACATGCCAACCTGCTGAGAAGACCCTTCATGAGCTGTTCTTTTTGAGATGCATCTGTGTTTTAAACATGTAGTGTTTGTGGATCCCGTTTTTTTCAGTGTCTTACATAGTGTAGGGATTTTAGAGTTAATCTGTAGTTATTTGACAGTTATTCGAATTTTACTGTGTGTCGATATATGAGAAATCAAATTGTATCTTATAGATGGGGATTACAAGTCACATGTTCCTTGGGAACAATTTTATTCTAGGATTTTGCCCCCACACCGACAGATTCGAGCTAGACACCCAATCCCGGCAAACTCGGTGGTCAAGTACTTTAGACGTGTGCACAAATAAGCAGGTCATGGGTTTGAAGTTTGTGATTTGTTTTTTCGAACTCTAGGACCAAATTGGGAATACAGTGTAAATGTAAACCTTCCCACCTTTGTACAAGCAAAACAAGCATATATGTCAAATTTACATCCCCAACATAAAGCCAGACTGATCTCTTTGGGAACATGATTTACTTCTTTTAACTTAGTAATATTGTAGCCAAAACTTCTAACCGGAGTGACTAATACTTCTTTTTAAAACATCATCTGATGCCAAATGTAATTTTGATTAGTGGCATGAAATCCAGTATTTTCAATAAAATGTGGACGAAAAAGATATTTTTCTCCTTGAAGTTTATTGGGTTACTTACAACCGGGCGCTCAACTCATTACTTGGGCATTTATACCAAAACCTCTTTCTCATTTATCAAGTTTATTCCATCAAATGATCTGATGGGAACCATATCCACAAATACTGTGGCCTAAAAAATTAATCTGACCACAGTGATACCAGTTGGAAAATACCACAAATTATCAAAATGATCCGTTACCACAATGTATTGAAGAAAAACATGAGCAGCCTTTCGGTTATCCACAATCATGTTGGTATAAGCCTACAGTTTAAACAATGGCCATGGAGACCATAACTGCTTTCATGTTTCAGGTATAGAAGCCATACCATCAATTATGGAGCAATTTGTCGTGAAATGTGGGTGGGAAAGACAAACCATACATACCTTTTTTGCCAATTTTGAGAGCAACTGCCATGCATTCCATGTTCCACAAGGAAAAAAGGGCAATGCAGTTCTCTCCATTCAAGAAGGTGTCATTACGCCACCCTCAACTTGACATTATGGCATACTGTCGTGATTTCGATAGGGTCATCAAGGCAGACATTTGGAAAGTTGCCAAGCTGAAAAGGTGCAAAACACACATCTTTTCATGACACGACGTGTACATTTTGGTCTTCCATGGAAGGCATCAGTGTTTGATCAGCATTTCACGTTATAGACTTCTTATTTACAAAAAGTACTGGCTGAAAAACTATTTCATTTCTGTAATGACATATCCTGAAATCAGGTGGAATATTTAGGCCAATTAACTGGAATCATTCATTCCCAAGAATCACAATGACCTTAAACAAAACGCAGTCCAATTTGGAGTGTAGTCCATGTTCACAGGCGGGCTCTTTTTAACAATGAGAACCAAGTGAAAATCATGCAGAAACGAGAGCTTGTGAACGACAATTCCTGAGCAAAGCATCTCTGATGATCTGACTGCATCATTTACCTACGATATAAGCCCGGCTTCAGGGTGAAGCGAACACTGCACCGTTTCCTGCAGAAAGGACCTTTGCTGGTTTCACGCAGAGAGCCAACAGTGCCAACTTCTCATTTTGACAGCCTAACCAAGCACATGCTTTCGGGAAATGCAAGTTCTTGCATTACTTGAGAACAAAGTGCTTTTCGCCATGCCATATCTTTGACCGCCTAGTCCTTATAACAGCCACTGGTTCAGGTTCTGTAGGCGAAATTGTGTTCTCAGCAATGAAAACCAAACCATACTACACTAATAAAGATGAACTAATTTCAAAGGTAAAATTTCAAAGTGGTCAGACATCACCGTCAAATCAATGAACACCCTTGAAATACAAAAGTTAAAAACTGACAAAAAAGTAGCCATACTGTGCAATACCAGCACTAAAAAGATATACGTAGATATAAAATTGCCAACGGAGTAAGGCAAATAGTTGGCCCAAGAGACAAGTCAAAGAATACTGGATGGCCATAAAACACTGGCAAGTTCCACTTTAGTAATAGGGTTTATGACCGGTAAATATAATATTGCAGTGTCACCTGATAAAACAAAGTTCATCAGCTTTCACAGTCTTCTTTGATCAGAGTTTTTGTGGTCAGATTCCAGATTCTTCACATGCTCTTCGTCAATCAATCATGATCTAGACACTTCTAAATTTGTGAAATTTTGCCACCACAACACTGGCCAGTTCCTCCCACGACTGCGGCTTCGTCATCATTCTCCCTTGAGCAGCTTGCGCAGCATTTGGGTGCACATGAAAAGGCAGCGGGGAACATGGAAGCAACCTACAGTTTCAAGAGAGTAAACAATACTGTTATTGCCACAGGGGTGTAAATCTGGGGGGTGGGGGATGGACAGATATATCCCCACACACACTTTCTTCTGGGGGGGGGGCTCTTGAATTCTCCCGCCAAACTCTTTCATGGTAAGAAAAAAATTAAGACGGATTGTGAAGAATTTTTGGGACTTCCCAACAACCAAAATGTATTCAACAGCACTCAAAAAGGAGAATTTTTTAAAAAAGCCTTAAATACATGTATAGTGCTTTAATGTAGGGTTCTCCGGGAGTGATTATTACAGATGTACATCGGTATATTGAGCATAGCCCCCTAGTGTCACATGATGTCAGCAAACCCCTCCCCCCCCTTTCCCACCTTCCATGGCCAGGCAAGTCATCCCCCCACTCCCCGCAATCCCCCATCCCCTCCAGTTCTGCCCCAAATTACCCCACCGTACTGCTATTAAGGCCTGTGGTTGCGGTGGAAGGGGGAAAAACAAAGAAGTTGTAACAGTGGCAACAATGATTCAGAGCTGACCTCTCAGGGCTTTCACAGGCATTCCACATTTTGAGTTCTCTCAAAAATGGCTGTGACGATGTGAACCTAGCACTTGCGGGGTTTTTTTGCGCAGAGCGCTAGAAACTAGCAAAACCTGTAAGATCAACCCCAACAGTCGTCAATCCTGCAACAGGTGAAGGACTGACGACTGCTAAGGGTAACAGCCTGAAATCCCCAAATCCTGGGAAAACCCACCCATTTCATATACTTCAGCAGTGCACGCAGCAATCAATCATGCTTGACTGAGAAAAAAAATCCCATTCAACACCTTCCATCGCCATGTTACCTCAGCAAGCCTCTTAAGTTTATATCACTGCACACAGCAAGGCAGACATGTACCTTTGAAGGGTCCACCTTTAAAGTCGTGCGTAACCTTCCCTTCTTGATTGAGATACCCAAACCACTCTCCATGCTCCACATCAACGAACTGGTTTAGAAAGAAAAAAAAAGTATTGAAATCATAATGAATGGAGTTAAGAAAGAAGATTTTTTAGGAAGGCCTCCTCTAAGAGGGCTACTTTTCTGAAAGCCACCTACTTGAAGGTCCTCTGTCTAAAGGTCTCCTCCTAAAATGTCCAATGAAGATAGGCCTCCTCTTGGCAGGTCCTTTCGGGGAAGGTCCTCTCTTGGTAGGTCCCCTCTAAGAATGTCCCCTGTTCGAAGGTCCACTCTAGGACTGTCTTCTCTTTAAAAGCCCTCCCCTTAAAAAGCCTGGTCTTTGAAGGCCCTTCTTGGAAATCCCCTCTTGGGATAGGGATATATGACCCCAACCCAACCAATCGATGCCTCAACAATTAAGTTTGCTCCTCTGAATGGTAATTATATCCACCTATGAGAAGGTACAACTCACAGACTTCACTCACCCGGGAGAAGGTGTAGTCAAAGACTTTCTCAAACATTTCTAGGAACCGCTCTTCCTTGGTCTGCTGGTAGGCCATCAGGGAGGCGATGAGGGCCTCGCAGTGGGGCCACCACAACTTCATGTTCCACTCCAGCTGGGTGGGCGACAGCCCGTCCGCATCCAGGAAGGAGTAGAGGCCACCGTGCTCCAGGTCCCAGCCCGTCTGGAAGGGCTTGGCGATGAAGTTGTCGGCGGCCAGCCTCCTCAGCTCGGGCAGGTCGTGCTTCATGCTGCACTGGAGGAGGAACCAGCCCGTCTCGATGGCGTGACCTATGGACAGGACAGAGTTTGCTATTACAGCCAAACACATCAAGAAAATCCTAGTCATGTCACCAACTTGTGACAGGGTGCATCACACATTGATGCTAGGAACTGAGCACATTTATTTTTTATACAACGTATTTTCTTTTTAATTCACTTTGCTATTCACTTCATTGCAGGCCAATCAGACCTCCTTGTCGCTTCTTAGTAACAATCAGAAACCATTACTATTGGTCAAAGGAGTATTTGGTCAGCGCCATAATGCATCACTTGTGCTGAAATATGACCTCAATGACTTCACCTCCAAAATACTAGCTAAGGCCATCATCCTCAGTTTAACTTCAGCCAGTAATTAAGCCTAGGTTCAAGCGAACACTAACCTAGCTTCATCAATCTGTTAGCTGAGCCCAGTAGGTTTGCACCCTCAGTACCATTTCTAAAATCTTAATCCCATCTGTTGGAATACTTTCACCTCCGAAGACCCCCAACTGGTGTTCAAGTCAACACCTCCTATCATTTGAGTCAGCACTAACCTGGGTTCATCAGCCTGCCTGCCGAGCCCGGCAGTTCTTTGCCATCAGTGCTGACAGTTTCTAGAATCACCGTCCCGTCTCTCTGCATTGAAATTATCAAAGATAAATCATGTTTCTTTATGACAGGAGAAAGAGGGGAGGTTTAGTTGGCAGCATGACAGCTGACCCTAAATCAGAATTGAAAACTTTCACGGAGCCAGTTTGGTAGTCCAACAGCACATGCCCAGAATGAACTGCTTCTGAGGTCCTGCAGGGGCAGCAGTACGCGCGCGCATGAGATTGGCCTAATCAGCGCTGCTGTATGCCAACGCAGAGGCACTGGACGTGTTCACGCTTGTATGCTTTGCTCTCAAATGACTTTTACCTTTGCTTTCAGCGTTTCCAGCAGTCCATATTTCTCCAGGAGAACTGGCTACACTAAGAATCCGTTGAGAAAATTTAAATACGTGTACTAAAATTGTGTCTATACCTGCATGTGTTGGAGTGACTGTTCGATGCTCCATTTTTCCAGTGAGGCATACTTCTCTTGGAGCGCTGGATCACCGGCCGTCAACTCGTCCAGTAGATTGAGGAAAATCATGCCCCTGGACAGCGAGTTTACCCGTGGTGCGCCGAGCAGTTGAGGGCGCCCTAAGCCCGTGTCGTCAACACAGACCCAGTGCTGGAGCTGGTCCAGCATTTTGATCGCCTCTTGCTGTGATCATATGAACCAATAAAACGTCGCGTTTACGTTGAACAAACAAGAAGGACTACTGATGGAATCTACTTTCAACTGTGGTATCTTGCGTAATTCTCGTACTACAAAAAATGAATAGGCAGGAATATCTTGACCATCACCGCCTCTGCTTCAGAGAAGAGATTGGTCAGACTTTTAGAGTTGTATGATTTGAATTGATAATAAAGCTCTTGTACAACGAAATTGATGCGGTTTCAAATAAAGCACCTCTCATTCACAGTAGAGATTGGTCAACCTGCGAGATTTCTTTTATTGCCCTTCCCGTTTATTATACTTTTTCAAAAGCTGTTGTCACAATAACAAAAACACATTTTTTAAATACTGCAGCACCCAACAAATTCAGTGCATGTTAAGCAAGAAACAAAATCTTCCCCTAACATGGGACCGGCAAAGGGCAACAGACGCAAACAAAATAAGAACTTCCACGTATAAATGTACTCCATTAATGTCATTCCTTACCTTATACATATCGTCCTTTGTTGCCCTTGCCAGTTCCGACATGGCCAGCATGTAGAAGCACTCGCTGAATATTGTCCGCTGTATCTTGACAGCTTTGCCGTCTTTGGTCACGGCAAAGTAGCATTTCCCGGTCGCCGGATTCTTCACGTAATTCATCAAAAACAGACCTCCTGTATCCGAATTCAAACAAATATACTTTTTTTTCCAAATAACAGCAGGTAAAGAAAGCCCAAAAGATTAAAGAAAAAAAAATTTTATTCACAAGGCAGCTGATAAAATTCAATAGTACAGAAGTCATCTTTTTACTTATAACTGTTGGCACAACAGCCAGTTAACGTTGAATTTTCTGACCCGAAAAAGCAGCCAGGAGGTGGGTTTTTACCCTCAAATTCTTCAATTTTGCAATTGAGCTTTGACCCAACAAAGCACGACGCGTTAATACGTCAACAGCAGAAATGAAAAAAAAAATGAGTGTACACTTCCTCCGTGGAACAAATAAGGAAAATTGTGTGTGTTTACACCACATTTGGCGTCAAGTACATGTAGTTAAAAAAAGATAAAACTCCCAACAGTCTAATATTCCCAAGATATGACATTTTTCACACATACCAAGAGCTAAACACTGTAAAAATTCAAATTAATTGATACTTCTTAATGTTTCTATGTAGCACTTCTATTTTAAGTATTCTGTAAAGTTCTTTGAATTTTGTGGAAAAAGTTGTCATAAAATAGGCTACTTACCTTTCTTTGCTGCTTCGAGCACTTCTGGAGTGTGATATTTGGCAACAGTGTTATACAACTTACTATACATCCAGACCTACAAAACCAAAAACAGAAAGAGATTAACCTTCCCTTACAGACCCAGCAAAATCCATCTGGACTTGCTGGATTTTGTGGGATTTTAGGAACCATACTCGAGGTCTCAGGTACAAAGAATTACACCATTTGGTTTCTGTACAGCACCGGATTTGGGACAAATTCTGGAAAGTTCCTTGCAACGGTTCTCGGGAATTGAGGGGTGGGTGGATAGGTAGCGGAAAGAAGATTGGGGAAAAACATGGCTAGAGAAATTTTTCCTGACGTTAGCCACCGCTGGAAACTTGGTCACTTTTGACCACTTGGTGACACTCTTCGCACTGGCCTTCCAAACTGCAATGTTTCACAGTTTGATCTTCTTACAAGAGCAACTTTTTCGCCCAATCAAATCATTGAAAGGGGTGTACTGGTGTCTTGCCCCTACAGACCCTTCAACCACCATCCGCCACCTGTCAGGGAAGGGGAACAGAGCTGATTGGTTGAGATTTCACAAACGAAATCTCCACTGCGGGACTGCTCACCTGCCTCCCCTGCAGCCAGCAGTATTTCAGGTCGTCGTACCGTCTACCATCTCGACCGAGGCACACGAAAAAGCCACTAAAATCGGAAACAGAAAATCACTAAGCCAGTTGTAAGCCTGTCACACACACTATATATGCTCATTGGGATATCGCAATTAACTACGTCCAAAGTTGTACTGAGTTAACAAAATACTGAAAACACACTGGCCAGTGTTGACAAGTTGAACTCTCCTGGGAGTCAGGGGTAAACACTGTGATTTTTTTCTGGGAGGGGGGAAAGAGAATCGTAATCAACTATTACTAGAGCTGAATCAAGTCACGGCACCTCAAACACAAACTGTCCATGTTGACTTGGTGCATTTATCACAAGGTCAAGGACACAATACTGATGGGGGGGGGTCAAGGTACATGTACACCCATATTTTATATTTTTATATTACACGTACATGTGTTGAGCCATTGCACCAACCCCAGAAAGCTGAAAATGTTACATAGAAACCACTTCAATGATTGGACTTTGGAATCAATAAACAAAGCAATAAACATCCAACTCTTTGAAAAAAAAAACACTTGGTATTACTCCCTGTTTAGAGGGAAACAGTGGTGTACCCAATTCCCATAACGGGGTACCTGCCTGCAATTATTGTGAAGATCAGAGCAAGACGCGGAAGTAAACTTTTGTTTAACCTGAGTGTCACAATAACGTAACCACTGTCATCTCCAATGTAGACGACGGAGAACTGTCGGTACACAGTCTCAACAGATGTTTCATTCAGATTTTTTTCCAATAGTTTTCCGGCAAATAATCAATAGAAAGAGGGTGCAAGCCTTTCTAAAATGCTGGATCAAAATTTCACCAAAGTAGTTTCGGGTAATAAGTTTGACAGAATGGAATTGGGTGCCCGTAATCAACGGTCGGGTTTCAAGTACCCGGGTACTCCGCACGGCCCCCGAGGGGAAAAAAATCGAGTACTGTAAAGCAATCATTACTTCACACTGGGGTACCTGTCTCGCTTTTTCTTAGAATGAGTGAAGTGCTGGCTACTGTTCAGTGTTTGATTATGGCAGACTTCAGAGGGTTCCTATGCACTACAAAAAAAATTTAATATCTAAATTGTTGGGTTCATGTTAGCATCACTCACCCATTTAAATTGTCATGGGAATGCTTCAACCAAAACTCCATCACCCTGTCCAACTCCCTCTCCATCTTCTCCAGAAATTCTGGCAATCTTGCCTTTGCTGTCGATGCCATCTTACTGAAAACGAGAAAATAGAAACAGGCAAGCACACACCTGTTTAAAGCCGCAACACAGTGAATGTGGGTCGATACACCTAACAGCATAGACTCCATGCCTTCATACATGTATAAGCATGTATGTAAAGCATGAGGCTAAAAATGAGGGCATTTGTTATAAAAAAACAGCAGCCTACCTGCACAAATACCACTGTGATATTGCTAAGTGACATGCACAAAGTCCCCCATTTAAACAGTCACACAGCAAGGAAAGAAAAAATCTTCTCCCAACCAATGCCCATATCCAACAGATCCAAGATAAACCATGAAGTAGTAGGCTTGCAGTGTAGCAGACGTAACAGGGTAGATAACCGACTATGGCAATCATTGGGGAAATCCAAAGTCCTCCTGACAATAACTTCTTCCTTGAACAGGAAACCGCTCTGTTTACAAGGCACTGCCATGACTGAATGAACTGGACAAACACATCCACACACAGAAAACTGATCTTTACCAGTGAAAGGAGTATCCACAATGCAACTAAGCAAATCTTGTCTTTGCATTAAAGCATGTTGGAACATCTGTATGCTTCCTTGCATGTGATTACAGATGTACAAGAAATTAGATTCTGTTAAAAATGAACGCGCAAAATATAAATGTCCCAGCAACGCTTTGGGAAAATAATTGTTTCTGAACACGTATGTTAACTAATGTTTTCTGCCACCGATACATGTACATCTTCAAAAACTCATCTATGTTTGCACATAGTGGCTTGTGACTGGGGCGTGTTTTGGCAACCCGAACCATGAACTTACCGGTATTTCAGCTTTGGTCATTGGTTAAGCATTTTTGCAACAGTGGTTATGGCTCTGCAATGTCATTGTTCCGACCGAATGAGAACCGAAGGTTAGAGTTGGTTCAGTGCCAGTTCAAAATGGCGGAAAATAAACAGACAATTTTTGTCACCCCTCAATTGAGTGAATCATGCATTTCAAAATCTATTGTTAAATGCAGAGAATTCAAAGAGATACTTTCTTCTCGAACGTGCAAAAAAAACAGCACTGGTGAGAAACATGCTGAATATTGAGTGAAAATGATGTTCATCAACAGTGTCGTCTGCTTCCTTTGACAGGTGACCCAACCATATCTGGTTCTTCGTTTTTTTGGGCCACTCTCAACATGTTCCTGGTTATTGCTTTGACCTCACAAACATGTTTCTAGTTAGGGGTCGCCAAAATATGCTCCTGATGAACATCTTGAGCAGTCAACTACCGTACGCATTGGACGATGCACAACTCTCGCATCTAAGACTAAACTGCATGTATGCACAAACTGATGCAGCAAGATGCACTTGGTACATGTACTTCATCCGAAAGGGTCACAACGTTTCCCACATGACACCTGGCTCATCGAAACTGACTGCGTACTCCATACTCACCACAGGCCGAGTGCTTTCATGGTGAATTCCAAATACGGCCAATTCCTTCACCCAGTAACCAATGCACAAATTTCAGCAGCGCAAACTGAAATTTCTAAACTACTATGAAGCCATGTCATTATTCCAGGTTCTCTTGTGGATATTTTCAAGCTGATCGGTCTGTACAATGTATACAGAGTTCTCTTTGAACCCATTCATTTTTTCTTCTGGTGCACAATGCCCTATTCAGGGCCACACAAAAGACCACCGAGTGACTGAAATGAATTTAGACCTCTGCTGCTCTCTGGGCAGACCAAGCCAGGTTTTTTTTATTTTTAAACAATACGACAAAAGGACGTAGAAATGAAAAGAAAGTGAACAAAAGCACTTCCTGACAACTGCTGAACAGAGTAAGCCCTGGCAGGGCTGAATGGATATTATGCATGCTTGGACCACTGCCCTCTGCACAACAAAGATTTGATCAAAACAACTATGAGGAGGCATTATTTGCTGAACATTGTACACACTCTCCCCCCCCCAAAAAAAATAATTAAACAAAAAGTGAGCTATTAAAATTTTTATTATTCTCTTATAAAAAAATCATCATTCGGCCAAGTAAACAAAAAGTTGTTTCCAATCTCTCCCTGATTCTTTTCTTCCTATCTATCTACCTTTTTTGTTTCATTTCTTTCATTTTGGGGGTTTAATTTTCAATATATTTTGGCTTTTTCAAGTCCAAGCTATGCAAGTTTAAAAACTTACAGTTTACGATGGGGTGAAAGCCCTTTATGGACACAAAAGCATGAAAAAAATCAAAACCAGCTGGCATCTTGGAAAAAATTTTCCATCTTCAAACAAAAGCCGCTGCCTCCTTTTAGAATTCAAAAGGGAGTTTGCCTTCTTCTTCCTAGACCAGTCCTGATAGGCTTTTACTGTTGTAGGGCTGGCATGGCAACTGAACATACGCAGTGTTTGGGCCGGGAATGTTTTACTATGACTAATCTTCATATGTGTCACTGTAAATTTGTATTCGCAAAGTGGAATTCAAACTTGGTGCAATTTTGAGCTTGAATTTGCCTTGAGTAAAAATCCTCCAGAGCCACAAATCATGAAAAGATTCAATTTGAAACAATAAAGTGGTAATTTGCCAAATTTGGAGACTTCTCTGGAAGAAAAAAAAAAATCAAAATCCCAATGTCTTGACTGGGGTGCATGCTTCGTGGTGCATACCTTAACCACATCGCCTTACTCGGTTATAAAGGGTAAATTTAATAATTATATGATATCACTTTAAATGCCTGCAGGTAAATAAAAAAATAAATAATAAAGTGCAACAGGTTAATGGCAAAATAAAACACTTCAAAAGGGAAAAAAAGACTGTCAAGAATTTTTCCTAACCACACTAACATCCTGAAGCTGGGTGTAAACTTGAAAGAGCAATCCCAACGGTTGAAGAAAATAAGAAATCTGGCCGTAGTACATGAATGTTTACTTACATTGTAGATTCCATTATAGACATCTATGCCACATAAACCCAGATTCAGCAATATTTTGGGGTTTAAAAAACTTACTTTTGAGACCTGTTTCTGCCGAGCGCCATGGCTAGCTTTCATGAAAGGAGCGTGTCATCATTGCTTTATTTACATCTCATGAATTAGGCTTTTCCAGGATTTTGTTGACGTAGCACTGTGGAAACGGTTCTCCGGCTGGTGCATGTATGCACTAAGCTGGCATGGTCATGTCAATGCACATAATTACAGGTAGTAATGTAACACGTGTGTTGATTAGTTACAGTTATACACTGTCCCAAGTCCGAGGAATGGAGCCTCACCAACCGTATAAACATGGAAAGTTTTTGGACAACCCGCAGAATTGGTCCATATTTTTATCGCATTATTACTATTTATTCAGAAGTCACAGTGCTACTTTACATATACAACTTATTACTTAGATACCACATGAGTATAAACTGCATTGCCCATTTTTTTCACTGCCGTTGGGGTTGCTCTTTAAGTTGATTGTATTTTCCCAGTTGACAAATTCAGCAATGTCTGTATAGAGCATGAAAGTTGACCCCAGATGGTGTGCTTCCGGAACCCTTGGATAGGAAAAATAAAATGCAAAGTTTTTCGAATTTGTAATATTTTTCGTTCAGTTACTTCTTTAAAAATTCAACTCAGAAAAGAGGCTTTGGAAAATATTTGAAAGTGTATCAATTTATAGAAACCGAAAAATCACCTGACCTAAAAGGGACAAATCCTGGGTTCTGGAAGCTCGCTGCATGACCTTTTGGTTTACTTTCAGGCTCCCATGTACATGTATACTGAAAAAAATAAAGGCATGTACTTCCTGCATGCACATTTCCGACTTCACTTTTTAGCAACTGACACTGAAGGAGGTGTATCACTGCACCGGGCACCTACTCCGATCCTACCTGTCCTATCATGCCTATAACTTTAAGTGATCTATTGTCATGATCATAAAGCTTGGTTTGTAGCTCTATGCAGAGTTGCAATGATGTTGCCGAGTCCTTCCAACATGTCCAATCATGGTCCAATTATAAAGGACAGCAATGACAACAAACCAAGGGTATGCTATGAATAAATTTCCTACCAGAAGCACTGACCGCTCTGCAGCTAATGAAAATAATCGTGCGCGAACGACATCCGTGCATGCACTCAACATTGCTGATGAATGACTAACCGTGGACTATATAATTACGCCTACTCCTCATATGGTCTGTCGCAATGTACACTGTACCCCGTTGATGGGATGTCGACGATGAGTGGGGAGCTAACCCCCAAATATTTGCTTTATGGTTTCTCTCATGGTTCAAATATTATTCCACGCTAGCAAAATGTGAACTTTGATGCTGCGCCGCAAGGTCTCACACGTACAACGTCAGTTGATCAACTTTACCTTTGACCCTCATCGCCGTAGTCGACTAGTCTCGGCTCCTGGTCGAGTCAGACGCGTGACTAGTGGGGGCGGGGGCAAGTTCCCCCGCTGGGTGGGACATAATCAACGTTAATTAAACTAAAAGAGCAAACACACCACAGAAATAATACTATTAAATGGCACTTCCAGCTATTTAGGGGTTGGGGATTCTTTTATGGGGGAAAATGTAAACAGTCACGTTTGGAAGAAAAATCCGTTTTACATTCCACCATGAATGGACCCAGCTGACTTGCATGTGCTAATGCGTTTCAAAAATTAATAAAAAACAAAACAAAGAAACAGAGGCCTAATTAAACAAATAACTATTGTTTGTGGGAAACTGGTGGCCGAAAAAGGGACAGCTCAGTTTTGTTTTATATTGGGGGGGTATTGTACTTGTCCACAGATTTTTCGCCAGCAGCCATCATTTTTATTAACAACAATGTAGTTTGCGCCCTCTGTCATTTTGTGCCTTTTTCATAGAGCTGATTGAAACTGAAATCATCTGCACGAAAAGAACAGCTTTGTATGTTCGATTGACTGGTATTATTGGTGTCACGTTTTCCGTGTGAACAGCCTTCATTTTGTCCAGAAACGGCACTGAATCAACTGAAAAGCACCTTCGTGGCGAGTACGCGCCTAAAATTATATTCAACTATTGTTGCATAGAATTTATATTCAACTATTGCTGGATATAATAAAGTGCTTTGAACTGTTTTCTTTGACAGCACAGTACACAGACGCGTTTGTGCGCGCGGCTGCAATGTAAAAATGTTCCTTCTTACGGGGGTGCGGCATTCCACAAAAAGTAAAGCTTCCACTAGAGTTGCTGACTCTCTACGAACGTTGTGTGCTTGAGTTAGCCGCTTTCCAAAGGGACTTCGAAACTTTGAAGAAAACGGACACGCCCGTAACAACGCAGTCCTCATTAACCATTTCAACCAATCAAAACCTTTCAGCAAGAGTGTGGAACGAGCTATTACCGTCCTCCCGCCCCCTTTGACAACGCCCATTGCCTTCCGTGATTCCTTGCTGAGTCAACTTATGCATTTTTCAAATTCATTAACATAAGAACAAAAGAATGTGTAAACGGGTCTACAACACAGCCGTTTTTAGAAAATCGGTTCCTTAGGCTTGTTGGAGTGGATCTTCAAATGAAAAAAATACAAACAGGTGCAACGGTTCCGTCGTTATAATGCTGACTAATGTTAACTCAATAAACTTATAAAAGTACATGTCTACATGCAGTACCTCTCAGTAAAGTGTTGTAAACATCTTTTCACATGCATGACTAATCTACCATAACGTGGAGAGCTTTGCTTCAATTTTGCAAGGCCTTTTGTGACCCACAAATCTAAAGGCACCAAACGGAACATTTTGCGTGTTGTTGGTTCAATTGTTCGTATGGCATGCATGGCCAAAAATGCTGCAGGGTGATCAGTTATGCGCCTACTAAAATTCGTAAAAAAGGCGGGGTAACATCATTCTAATTGTATTCATGCAGTACTTTGACCTAAACTTCAAGGGGGAAATGCATCTTAACAATGAAACAGTGAAGAATTTTGCTTTCTTTTTAAATACTAATGAGCAACACACGTGGGGAAGTCCCGTGTCCAATCTGTAATGACTACCAGTTTATATGTTCACTGCAAGGGGACAGAGTTCCATACGCGGTCACCACCTTTAAGTCTGTGGGCCAAGACAGAAAAAGTCCAAGTACTTTCATATAAATGTTCGTAAAAAATTATGAATTTTTTTACTCCTTAATGAGTGTGTCTTCATTAGATTTATTTTTTTTTTTAAATTTTCAAGTCACATTTAGGAAGATAAGTGGTGGCCGGATACCGAACTCTTTATGTGATGTGGTTTCAACGTGGAGTAAAAAAAATCACCTTGACTGCAGAGAATGGACGTACACTATTCTTGGTACGGTTGACACACCATCATCCATGGATCTCTGATATTGAAGTCCAGAAGGCACCACTGCCCCAAGTGGAGATTGCCACACGATACCGCTGGGAAGCTCTCTCTCCACTGGTAGCAATTGAGGCGAAGATACACTGCCTGCCCTCCCTCTGCCGTCGCTCAGTGTGTCATAAGGAGGCGGTACGGAGTACACCCTCCTCCTCGCCTTCTTGGAGATGTCCGGAGGAGGGTGATTGTGGATGTTGTTGAAGACTGTGGCCTGTTGGACGTTGTTCATGATCATTGCGCGGGCGCTGCATCCTCGCTGGCGGCACCGGAGGTACGTCTTGCCGAGTTGCTGCCGGTTCTTGGTGTAGGCGTACCCGCCGATGACGTAGGCGATAGACCGTTGGGTGAAGACCTCGCTGTAAGGCACCAACGTCTCATCCTGGGCAGCCACGGCGGCGCCTTCCCCTGCTGTCTTCTCTTCATCGCGGTAGCTTTCCGATGCAGACACGCCTTCCGATTCGAAGGAGGAGTCCGACAGGACCTCCACGCTCTCTTGAAACGGGCTGGTGTTGTCCAGGACCGATTCATTCTCGTCGTCAGGGATTTCTTCGCACTGCATTATGACACTGTCCTGCAGTTGGCCAGCCTCCGCAGAGTCGACGGGATTGGAGTGATGATCTCGGTCGTGCGACGGGCTGTCACCGTCAAGAGAATGAGCCGTGCTGGCCGCCGGAGTGCTTAAATCAATCGGCGAAATTCCCTCCAGCGCTGGCCGCTTGACTCCAACGGTACTCGGGAGGTTTTCTCCCGGGATGAAAGTGTTGTTCTCCAGGACGGGACCCGGCATGGCAGTGGGGAATCCGACGGGCTGAGGAGCTGGGTAAGTCTCCACAATGTAGCCAAGGGGCATCCGAGGAGGATTGATACCAAATATATCTGTTCGTCCTTCCCTATTCGTGATCTCCATGGCATCCAGTTTCATCGAAGTTCTATCTTGCCGATGTTTCTGACATCTGCAAGCGTCTTTGTCAACGACGACGCGCGGCCCCACCAGTTAACCCTTAGCGCATTTAGCTATACTCCTCAATTCGTGCGTGGAGCACAAAGACCCACTTTGAATACATCATCTGTGTGTACTTGTTCACGTAACGATCTGAAGTCCAAGACGACGCATAAAGACGGGAACGTGGTGAATATTCCTCAGCCGTGGTGGGCCAAGAAGACAACAGGAAGAAGGGAATGCATGCAGAACAACAATCCAAGGAGTAGACCCTTATTCCCTCACCCAGGAAATGCACTACGAGCACAATAATTATGAGCGAGTCATAATTTCTTGGTTTACGGGTACACAATGCGAGCTCTCACTCGCCAGCCAGTTTCGTTGTAGACAGTGGCAGCAATTCAGTTTTTGTTGTAGACTGATGACGAAGCTTGGCAATTGCCGCTACATGTAGCGTGGAATAAGCGCTGATGAATGGGCTAAATCCAGCCCATTGTGTAGACCAGATGCGTGAAAAGACTTCAAGTGAATTGCTATTCTCAGTGAAATGAATAGACTATTGTGCCCTCCGCGCTGCCGGCCTAACAGCCGTCCGTGCTGTCATACGGATATAAAAAAAATGGCGTCTTGTTCTTAGCATTTGACGAGAGTGCATTTTTTTTTATTTCCTCAGTGTTTGTCCAAGGATAACATACTTATCAATTGAAACGAGAGTGTTGTGCTAGTCGCAAGAGGACACAAATATAATAATCATACTGCTAGGCACATCAACTCCGTTACTCACAAAGCGTTTGTTCCATACTCACTTTTACCATGAATGTTATCGTTGATCCAGTTTTCATATTTGAAAATAATGTTATTACAGGGTGCCAATTACAATGTGAGCTACTAAGTCATAGCACTACAACCTGGCGTTGTATGATTTCTGTGTAACGCTTAACGACCTATAACCGTTGCCACAACCAACTTTGAAGTGTCAGTTTAAACAATGCCGAAAACGTTCAGTGTAATTGTAAACAAAAACAGGTCACACGGAAAGCTTATTTTGAAGATCAGTTTTCTCTGTTCACGTATCACGTATCCCATACAAAATGGTACGCAAACCATTCATAGGAATCCAACCGAATGCACGCCAGCCAGTGCAATCGCTTACATTTTTAATACCAATTATTAACATGAAATTTCCAGTGTAACGATGCCGCGAGTAGACTAGGGCAAATGTGGCACATTGGAACATGAACTGCAGTACATGTTCATGTAAAACTAACACCATTAATCATGGAGGAAGGAACACATGACGTCACCCTTGTTTACATGTACTCTATCCTAAGGCAGTGAGGTGGGCCAGACGCAATCCATCGAGTCCCCGCAGGAAAGTGCACCTGTTAGCAAAATGTGACGTCATTACGTTTTTTTAGTCTACCACGGCTATGTGATTAACTAACTGTCACTCTACTGTGGCACAAACTGGCGAGCCAAAAACTTATCATGTTCGCATCAGGACTCCTTATCTTCGGCAAAACATACCTGATCAAGTACACACGTACAACCAAAACTTGCGATTTCGGTGAAGAGAAAGGGAGTGCCCCACAACCTCGGTAGCACCGTATTCCGAGCAGTCCGTTCCCTTCTGAAGGCGTAGGTCAAATTGCGTGTCATAGCAAGCGCCTTACAATCATTACGTGTAGGCCTGCTCAACACAAATTAATGAAGAACAAAAATATGACCTATATAATATATGTATAATAATAAGAGTAATAATAAATATTGATATAATATATGTATATGTATAATAAACTGACGACACCCCAGAGAGATTACCAAAAAGCGAACCAAATCACTAGTCTAGTAGCTCTCCTAAAATGATAGAGATAGGCTACATAAAAAGTGGAGGACAAAGACAGTGATATAAATTAACTTACTTAAAAGAATTTTAAAAGAAAAGAGCGTGAACAAGCATAATTATAAACACTAGGACTTGGGCTATTAATAAAAGCAAACACATATAATGACATACATGCACTAGGGTAGTTACATTAAAGTATGCAATTTATACATGTGCAAAGCCTATATAAAATACACTACATGTATTATTAAATATTAGCACAAAATAACAAATAAAATAGATATTTGCATTATTATAAGAATAGATAAAAATAAATGAGAGTAAAAAGGATAAGATGAGGGTGTGAGATAATAAGCCATTACAAATATTGTTTTCTTAAATTGCTCAGAAATGCGGTTAGGCCGAACAAGTACTACTGCATATGCGAGTCTCAAGATTCAAAGAGTCCCAAATGCGAGAAAATCGGACAAACATTGATTGGTGAAAAGTATTAGTATGTGACAGCATAGGCCTATCAAGAGAAACGAATCGAATCATTGTACATGTATAAGGCAGACTCAGCCTAGTGCACCACTTGTCTCTGTTGTGAAAGAGCATGTATGTCTACGTACGTGGAAGGCCCAGGCAGCATCGAGTATTAAAACCTTCAAATGTGCTCTCTCTAGGGAGTTCTCACCTGAGACAGAGTCGGGGCACCAGACCAGGGCAGCATGCTGCATTACTGGTCTGACTGAGGAACAGTACAATTTTACCACTTTAGATCTCTACTGTCAACCAATCTTCTAACAAGACCATTCATTCTGTTGGCTTTACACCAAAAATAAGATTGTACAACGATGCAAAGATTTGCCTATACGGACCTAGATGCAGTCAAGTTAACGTGACGCCGTCCTTGTCGGCAACCGTTAGATTAAACTTTGTAATCTTTCGTTAACGCAGACTAGATTATCCTTAAGTTTATTTTCTTACAAATTGTAAAATACCTAAAATATTTTAACGTTTTTATTTTAGGTTTTTGCGAAAGACTACCATTTAATATAATTTCATAAGTGTTCATATGTGTAATTGTAAGAGACCACAGAATTGCAGTGGTCTTCAAGTATTTTTGATTTTCGGGAGGGTCAAATTTGGCAGGTTATTCCTCTTTCAGGTCAAGTATTTTTTAGTTTCTATAAATCAATATCCTAACAATTTTTTTTCGAAGGTCTGTTTTGGAGGTGATTTTTAAAGAAGCAACCGGACGGGCAAAAATACACATGATAAAATTGCTGCACGTTATTTTTCCGATCCAAGGATTCCTGATACCCGCCACCAGGGGTCAACTTTCATGCTCTATTCTCTTGACTCTACTATGATGACGTAGTCTTCTGGGTACACCTAAGAGAAATTTTGATTCCAAGTTGGGTTACGGTTCACCATCTGGGAGCTTGAACCTGAATTTCCGCAATAGTGTAATGTAAAACAGGGAAAACTGTTTCTGGGCCTAGTGCTCGCCGATACACCATCTGCGTTCTGTTCAGGGTAAAAACAGAGAATAAAACTCAAGCTCCAACTCTGACATTTTTCTTATTCCATGGCTTCTACATGTGAAGTCGCTACTTCAATGCTTCAGCTTGAACCAAAAGAGGGAATAGAGTCGCACCCTCCCGTGTGGTTTCACTGTATAACAATATCATGAACTCGTACATGTATCAGAACACGTACATGTATTACAAGATAGGAGGGCTGGAAGTTCATACACGAAATAAGTTGAGTGCATATACCACCGATTATCCACTGCAAATGGCAGACTCATTTTACGACCATACTTTTTCATATCCAAAACATCCACTGGAAACATTTCAAAAGATTATAGGTAATTCTACAAACTTGTGTTTTGAACAAAATTTGTTGCAGTGGGCTCTCGCTTTTGGTTTAGAGTTGGTGGTGGGGACTCGAGAGGAAGCTTGGCCGGGGCTGGTGTGGGGTGGTCTGGCATTGTCTGGTCTGGTATGGTCTGAACATGGATACACCACAAAAGAACTGGTTTGGGGAGAGGAGGGACCAAACTAAGGACGGAAAGTAGTAAGGATAGGAAATAAACATGACTGAAAATGGTATGAGGTATTCTGGTTTGCTCACGCGGCCTTGTTTTTGTCGACGCGACGAACCTCTCGGGCATGACGTTTTCAGGGTCACCCCACAACTTCGGATCAACATGGACCGCGTGGGTATTTGGGATGACCGTGGTAATTTGGGGGAGTAACCGAGGATGTCGACATCAGCTGTAGTAAAGTGAGGTTTCCACAGCCAGGAATTTGTATCCCGGTGAAGTGTCTCTATGATGGCCGCATTGGTTTAGTGATTCTGGGTTCAAAAGCGTTTTCAGCTTGTAGACGTACACATGGACTTGACTCAAGTCGGGATCGTCCTTGACGTCACGTACGTTTATGCTTCGATTTCGTTCGTCGTCCAGCGCCCAAACAGGACGCTGAGAAGGAAGAGCTTTGCACTGTGATTGGGTACATTGTGCACGACCTGTGACCGCAAGGTTGAGAGCACTTCCTGTTAGCGAAGCGTTATTGAAATTATTTAGTTCGCCGATTACAATGCCTTGGCACGGGCAAAGTGTCAGCTATATGATAAATACCGGTATATGGCCTTGGTGTGATCAGCGATACTTAGTGAGAACATAAATTACCTCACTTAAGTATCGCTGATCACTACGGAAGCGAAACCGTGCCAGGTTTTTAAAGTACACATTTTTATTGCTAAATAACGCAACATTATTGCGAAATATGGCAATACTTTTGCGAAATTACGCCGATTAGCTTGTTGTGATTACTGTTGTTTCGTTGATTGTGTAGGCCTTCATGGTTAATCATCCGTAAAGGAGCATGAGGTTTAAAACCCTTGTAAGCTTTTACTTTTCTCTTGGTTTAAGGCATTCTGACATTTTATGCTTTCTAGCTGTGAATCACCGTGTTATTGTAAGTTTAAGAACATTAAAGCGACGTTTGTCGCAATATGGACTATTTAGAAGAAGACTTGTCGACATAAGTCGTCCATAGTCGATGTTGCTCTTTTTTTACCGGAGCAAACACAAGAGTCTGGATTTCAAAATGGATACCGATGGGTGCATTGAACAAAAGTGCTTATTGGCAGGATTCACCAGTTCAAGATCAGGGCCGTTTTCCAATACTCGACTTCGTCTCCGTCGGAGGCTTCGTTCCCAAAACCAATCCCCGAGTGTGGGAGTGAAGCGTTTAAATTACATTGGATTATGTAATTGTTGGCTTTCATGCATTTTGTTTCATGTTCTACGGCACTGTTAGACTGATTACTGCGCTTACAGCTTCAAATCCAGCTAGTACTAAAAAGAGTTGAAGCCTGAGACGGAGCCGAAGTTGAGTATTGGTAAACGGCCCAGAATGTTGCCTCGTTGCTCTCAGTTTTGGACGGCTAACAATAGAGGGCGCTTTCTTTGTGTATGCGTATTTTCGCGAAACTATTGCGTTATTTCGCAATAAAAAATGTAGGCCAAGTTTAAAAACCTGACACGATCGGGCCTCCATAGCACGTCACGCCACTTTAGCATAACGAAAAAGAAACACGAGTGTATTATAGTGCTCGAGTGAAGTCACATAAGTAAACTGTACCGGGTTTTAATGGCCCCGTGGACGCTGTGCTTCCAGAACCAACGGACCTTTGGCCATCAGGGATAACGGTGGGCATAACACCAGAGTTTATTACACATATCTTTTTACGTTGTTCATAGTCGCCGAGAGCTTTTATGTGTACGTACATATTCTCAGCATTTTATCACATATTTGTAGATCCAGAATAAATTGAAAATCTGTGTATTTATCAAACAATGGCAAAAAAGTCGTGCATAAACACTCTGAATGTATACTATACGGATTCATACATTCACAGCAAATTAAATGAAAATCGGTTAATTGAACTTAGAAATGTTAGCTTACAGTAATTTCGCCACAAACGGCACATGGACTTGGTTCCCTCTCCTGCTCGTTAGCCAGGCTTCGTAGCAGTCTATGCATGCATTAATGTATACCCCGTACGAGGTAACCACTTGCTGAATCAACAGTCGATTTCATTATTTCGTACACACCGTCGTTAATGTAAATTTCGGAAACCAAGTCTCCAAACAGCACCATTATGGTTCAAATCACGGTCATTTAGTTTTTCCATTTAAAGTTTAGAAAGGAATATCCACTCATTTTCGATAACAGCCAGCCTCAAATATTTACAGTTTACACTTGCTATTTAACCTTTTGTGCGGGTAAAAAGAAATACGATTACGTTTCATTTGAAATGAAATAGGTTTACAGAACAACGTTACAGTAATATTTACTCTCTGACTGTTTCATCCTTTTAAATTTGATAATAAACTCGAGCTAACTTTTCTTTGAAATGGCATTTTCAAAAGTCAAAACTACTCTCTAGATGTTGACCCACTAAATTCTGATTAATTACACTCTGCATATGTTTAAACAATAGCATTTTCGTTATAGCATTCAAACACGATTTGTTCAGTCCTTAATACTGTATACATGTCCAATTATTCCCAAAATACTAGATACATAGAATGATTCAGGTTTGTCAACACCATACTTCTCAATGACGTTATGAATATTCAGTGTCCAATACATTGTAAAATATTAATAATCAAGAAATTCTAACACCATACATGAACATGATGCCTTTCAAAGCAGTTTGATATACGGCATATATACCTTGTAACAAGAAAAAAAAGAGTGGTTGAAGTTGGCCTTTCGCTCTCCGAATCCCAAATCCAACATGTTGTTTTTACATCTAAGTTCTGGGGTCACTGATCGATACATGTGACCAAATCACACAAAGTGAGACTGCTGGCCGTTTTATTCAGTCTCCTTTATCCTTTCTATTTCTAAATTAGAAAAAACAATCTTTGCCTTTTGCTTGGACGTGTCACTCAGTTTCGTATACCAATGACCACTCATAGGAGGGTGAAAAATGTCGCAAGTAAGTTCCTGTTGAGGGACTCTTTCGCTCAACTTGCTCAGTAGCGACCTCCAAGTCCCACTATGAGCGCTTACAGGACTCCAGGATGTACAAATACGCATAATTACGTCTTTTCATACCAAATAACAGCTTATTGCTTGCACGACTACGACACTATATCAAGCCATAACGCATGTATATTGACTGGAGGCTATGGCCTGGCAACTTTTCAATAATGTTTCTGTTTTTCCCAAAGTGATGTCATTTATTTGCCGTGATGTTTACAATGTGCAAGTCACCATTGCTTTCTGTCTAGTCTCTTGTTGTCGCTTGCAGTCGAAAATACGGCGGACTGACCCACAACCACTGAGATTCCAATTTTGGGATCGGATCCCCATCCGGGAGTTTGAACTTGAATTTCTGGATCAAAGTGATGTAGAACAGGAAGAACTGTTTCTGCGACAGCTGCTCTCCAACACATGACCTGCGTCCTGTGTACAAAACGTGAAAACAAATATTTTACCGGTAACTTTGTTTTCCACTGCAGTCATTTCATTTTACAAGTTGGCACTTTATAAGGCAGGTTATGTGTACAAGTTTGCAAGATTACCCACGAAGAACAAACTCGAACAATATCAAAGCTGTCCTAGAACAGTTCCCAAACAATGCCGTGGTATCACTTCGTGTACAAGATTTCAAACGGGTTCAGTGGTTGAGAAGGCAGTTGGGAACATCGTAAGGCCTTTTTTAAAAAGTTAATTCAGATCTTCCACACTGACGTATTTGCCAGATGTTTGAAAGTTAAAAACTTGTAGGGTTTCCCAAATCGACAGTGTTGTTTGAATGATTCGGTGCGAACTAGTTCCTGCATAAAAGACGCTAAAATGATGCACTTACCTTCCTGGCCTACAATATTCAAGTGACTTAGCGCATCAGATACGGCCCCCGAATGGCACGTGTTCTAAATCGACTCTTTGGTGGGGTCATTCAGGGATACTTAAATGATTGAAAACTTTGCAACCTCTCTGTCAGTCTTTAGATGACTGTGGGGGGCAGTTTGGAAAGACCAAGGATTTGTCACATCTTAAAACTTGTCTATATGATAAGCATTTTTGCAAATCGTAGCACACAGATAGGTAACCAAAACCACACAGGCTCCTTTGGGGGGTGGGGGTCGATGAAAAGGCATGTAACATGCAATACCGCCTGCTCATGAGCATGACGCCAACTCAGTAATGACTTCTTATTCTGGTAGTCAATTTAGTCTGTATTGAAAACAAATCTTGTCGTAGTTGTCAAAGGTACAAACCGGTTGAATAGGGCATGAAGTAATCCGGTCGATTGATCCGGCCGTGTTTGTCGATGAACCTCTCAGGCTTGAAGTCTTCCGGATCATCCCAAAGCTCGGGGTCGAAGTGAACAGCGTAGATGTTTGGAATGACTGTCGTGTCTTTAGGGATCTTGAAGCCTAAAATCTCAACATCGTCAGCGGTGAAGTGTGGGACCAGAAGCCAGAAGGTGGTGTCCATGCGCAGGGTCTCAAGGATAACGGCTTCCGTGTACGGCATGTTCTCCTTGTCCTTCAGGGATGGCGGACGGTCCCCGATGACATCTTGGATCTCCTGGAAGACGCGCTGCTGCACCTCAGGGTGGAGAGCTGTGGCCAGCAGCAGGAAGAGGAACAGACCTGAGGCCGTGTCTCCCTGGTCGGGGATGAAGAACCACAGCATCCACAAGAACTTCTCGTTGGTGAACTCCCTCAGGTCGCTGTTGGGGTCGCCTTTGGCCAACTCGATCAGACACGAGTCGATCATGTCTCGCGGATTGTCCGGGTCCAGGGTCGCCTTGTGGTAGTCGACGTGCTTCTGGATGAACGCCAGCAGTTCCTTGGTCATCATCTTGCCCTTGCGCAGCCGGGAGTTGAGACCGAGCCTGTCGTAGAGGGGCAACAGCGGCTCCACGTTGTACAGCTTGAAGATCTCAACGTACCACTGCAAGATGTAATCCAAGATAGTGGCAAATTCCTCATCGTCTTCCTCATAGGTGGTATTGAGAATCATGGAGAAAGTCGCGTTCAGGAAACACAAACTTAAAGGTCGACCGGGCTCGAATGGCTCCCCGCCTCTCTTCTTGAAAAGCTCGACCAGGTGATTAGCTTCCCGAAGGATGACATCTTCAGAGCCAGAGGTACCGTAGCCAAACTGACGCACGGTTCGTACCATGTATTTCTTCTCTCTTTTCCAAGTCTCGGTGTAAGGCTCCAAGAAGACACCTAAGTCCAACGTGAACAATCGGTTAAAATCTAGCCAAACAAGTACAAACATTATTTAGGCCTACTATGCAAGAATCACGGGATAGCATTTAAGTACCATTACCGTCCCCAGAGCTACCGAATGGCACATACATGTACATGTGTATCTAATAATGTGTATACATGTATGTATACATGTAAGGTACGTATGTATATACATGTAAGGTACATACGTACATGTACATGTAATAATGACGTAATGTCTTCGAGCCCCAAGGGACAGAATTCCTTTGAAAATATATGTAATAACACTGATCAACACTTTCGCTTGTGCATGACACGTGCGAACTGAATGTACACATCGGGCACATTCGTTGATCCAGGACCTGTTTGTTTCGTACAGATCTGGATCTTGATCTATGATCCAACAGCTATCCATGAGGCGGGTTCTGGAGTCAGTGAACCAACGTCGGATCACTTATCCCCATCCGAATCTATGTGAAATAAACAGGCCCTAAAGCAACAAGTAATAATGCGTCTGCACCTGTGACATACATGAACTTCCTCACAACATTTTCGTGATAGGATTAGGCCGTCCTTAGAGTTGGGGACCAGCCACATATATCAATACACAGAATTCTTCCCAATAATTGAGGTACTGTTGCTCGCTGTCACAAGAGCTGTACATATGTATAGAGGGATCGGCGGCAGCTTAAAAATCAGTCACATCGGCAATTCACAGTTTCACTTTTTATGAAAATTAGTTACATTCAAAGCAATATATTATGTAAAAACTAAATAAAGATTGCTACTGCCGCCAAAAGCACGAGTTGTATTTCTCCTGCATATCAGGCAAATAAAAACAAAAGTCGTCGGGAGCATCTAGTAGAAGACTGTTTTGATGACGTCACACCACGGCCCTGCAATTTATGACTGTTTCATTATTATTCAGGGTGCGAACGCTCCCGGACAACGAAATGATGTTTGATGTAGCTTGGTCCACGGGCAAACACTGTCTCAGTTCAAGAATACACGGAAGGACTTTGTCTTATAATTTCTACCCGCACTGAGACGGTGACTGTCTGTTCCTTGCTCTATGGACCAAGCCACATCAAACGCAACGTGGTCTATTGCAAGTGTACGTTACCGCATGTACTCAACTCTGCGCTACGTGCATGTAAACGTTCTGGCGATGACGTCATCCACTCAGTCTGGGAGTGCGAACTGCCAAAAGGGATTTTTGTGGGCAGGGAAACGCAGGATCTCTTTATTAATTTGGGGGTCACAAATAAAGGGGAAAACATTAAATTTATGATGTTTTTGAAATGGTTACGCATTTATTGTTATTTTGAAATACTTCACGTGAACTAAATGCTTTCAATCTCTTTTATCCTTTAACCATTCATCGTCAGCATTTCTGAGAATCAAACCAAGACCTATGCACTAAGATTTTCACTTGAAGTTTTCTTAATGCCGTCCGGTTATTCTCACCATGTAATATTTGTCAAAGAGATAGTTTTTCAATGGTTCAGTCCTCTGATTCAGTCCTCTACAGTCTTTCGAGATTTAGCAGCCAGAACTTTTCCAAAAGGAATCCAGTTAACACGCAGTTCTACAGCAACCCTCTCAGTCTTTGTTGTTGAATAAAGTCACAGTAAAACACATTGTCAAGTTTCCTGTTTCGACTGCCTTTTGGTTATCCTATGCTATGGTTATCTCCTCTATAAGCCGCTACTTGATGGCTGCAGCACATCGACATGTTTGATACTGTTGGCCATGGGCTACGCCATTCGGAAGGCTTTACATCCAGAATTTAGCAACTTACCAACATTTCGATGATTTTCATTGATGTACGTAAATGGCCACACGCTTGGACGGTCAGAGACAAGAGCCGACTGCTTCACAAAGGCATCTTTAATAGACTCGTAGCTGTTTAAAATGAGCATACGCCTGGCGGAAACACCAAAAAAGTCATGACAATATATTCACAAGGAGACAGAATGGGAGAAGGGTTTGCTTCATTATTATTCAATGTTTTAACAAGAAACGTTCCACAGTGATCGGTTTCTTTTCTTACACAACTCAACCTTTGGGGAGCGATATGGACGATTCACAATAGTGCGCCTCCAAGAGTTTGCAACACGTTGGCCAATCACAACGTGCGAAATTTGTCGACCCAAAGCGCTTTTGAAATGGGTCGAGAGATTCCGCTCGTTGTGATTGGCCAACGCGTTGCAAATTCTTGGAGGCGCACTATTGTGAATCGCCCGTATGCCGTTATCCCGTCAGATTTCAAGTGTACCAGTACAAGTGTACAAGTATTTTAATCAAGGGCCTAAATTTATTTGCATAAAAATGAAATGATAACCCGTCTAAATTTTTGTTATTTTTTGGCTCTTTCAAAGGAGTGATGGTGAATTCGCTCGTTCAGTGATTTTTTCCCCACAATTGGGAACGGTGAAATAAGTGCTACTCTGAAAAAGAACAGCAAATGCGGTGTTCAACTAATATTTTTTTCAAATACTTTTTTACTACCAGTTTTACATTGTAAACAATCAACATTAAACATAGTAGTGTATGCTAGTGTATATTATTGGTGGCTTGAGTTGAGCAATATGGTTAGAAATTTGATATTAAAAATGTTAATTTGCTTAATACATGTTTGTTGAATTACACTTAAAGGTGGTGTACACCATTCGTAAGTCCCAAAAATCGGACTACCGTATAATCCTGAAATATCTTATTTGAAAGAAAGTACATTACAGTCTCAATCAGTCGGGTAAAAATTTCTCCCCTGAAAGAGTGGATGAAAACGCTAAAATAGAATTCCCTCTGTCAGGCTCTGCGTCGCTTTTCACTACAAACGAGAATAGCCCCACTTTTCAACTAGAGAATTATACTTCCAATTTTTTTCCCTAGGCAATTACTCCATGCAACAACCAACGAACATAATCCACACAGTATTTGGTCATTAAGCAATATGGAGCTGGGACCAGAGGGCAATCGAAGTGGGTCATTGGTAGTACAAGGACTGTTCCCTGTATATGTTGATGACGTCGTGCTAATAAATATTTTACATGTATAGTACAGTACACTGACGACAGAAGGCTCAACGTTCTGTACTGTTTATACATGTACATGTACAGTACATGTACATTGTACAATGTACATGCACATTGCTGTTCGTAGAAGCAGCCCTTCAGCATGATGTTTAGGAATTGCCACTGAATTTCCGAGAACTCATTTCCAGTGGGCATGTTGATTCGTCTCACTGTTGCTGGCAACTAGGGTCGATACAACAGAGTTTGCATGTTAACTTGCAATGCAAAAGATTTTTATCATCAAAGCAGGGACATGCATGGACCATGCAGGTGTGATTCTACCTCCATGCAGGGACATACTGCAGTGCAACCATAAATTCGACAGTTCGTAGTACATCCAGCATGATATATGGCAAAGGGCGACCCCCCCCCATTTGACACACAAGCCATATACATTGTACCCCAAGGCTATTGCGCCTACTGCGCCTACTGCGCCCCCTGGAAATCTGAATTGAATTCCAAAGATTCCGTCAACACAAAAGAAGGCGCAATAGAGGGGGGCATTTGCCACATATCACGCATCAAAATTACTAGGAGATAAAAAGGAACAAGGCAAACCAAACAATATGTCAAGGGATAAGAAAAGAATCTCCCAAATGCCTGCAGTAAATTCAAACCATGCTAGCTCTTTGGGATGTAAGCCGTCTGCCAGTGGAAACCGAATGATAAATACACCGAGACAAAGCAAGGCTCAAGCCAGCCAGGCGACAAGGCAGTTAGGCGAAACAAAAACAAAAAAACATGCTTCTCGTCCCCGCCCGCTTCCTTTTGGGAGACCGCCTGGATTTTGAAATTATTTTTTTATTTTTAAAATATGCTGTAAAAAAAAACACAGAAAAAGTCCACCAATTCATCGGAAAATAAATACTTGCGAAATGAGTGACTAGAAGTTTTCAGTATAGACTCTGTCATTCGCTTAGTAAACCACATAAATTGAAGCGCGATCGCAAAACACGTCTCCGTGAGAGTCTAGAGCAAGGCGACTTCACCCAAATGTGTTCGCACGTACTGTTATGACTGTACAGTACGTACAAGTTCTAAAGGCGTTTCGAAACGAATGGGTTAGGATTGGTATTCGGTTTCGCTGATTAAAGCCAGAGCCTCGCATGCTGTTGTTACGAATGCTGCATCAAATGGCAGGGATCAGCGAAGCCGCCGACTCGTCTAATCCACTCGTTTCGAAAACGCCTCTCAGGCTTGAGCACGTGTTTAAAGAATTGGCTCGCGCGGCCGTAGCTGGTTCCCGATTCCATTTTCATCGATGCATTCGGACTTACAAAAAAATTGCAGGGGAGGGGGAGGGCAACAGTCTAGCGCGGCTAAATCTAGCGCGGATTTTTCTGTCATTCATGCACATGCAAGCGTACTCATCATAAGCCCGCATCTTGTGTTATTTGGTTTCGTCACAATGGTTTTCGCTTGCATTTCCATACGAACCAAAATTAAAGTTATAAAACCGTTGTATACACGGACAGTACTTGACGGAATGATAACACTTCGTGGTCTTTTCGCTGCATTTGCGAGTGGGGAATTCGACCGTAGGTGAGCCGATTGGTGACCGGCACCAAACGACGCAGGCCAGTTGTCACTTGCACTATATGATTCGATTTTCATATTGTGAATTCCACTCACATTGTGCCATATTCGTGCAGATGAAGCGATCCAGATAAAAAGCTAAAGCCTAAGTAGCAGTACCCTGGCGTGTCGGGTAGATGACCCACGCTGGTGCTTTGTTTTGTTTTGTATGACCCATGCCATATTTTTAACAGAAGGAATATAATGTGCCATGTTCGGTAGATGACCTTTACCATTTTGTTTTGGTCGTTGTACGAAGTATGGGATTCCAGGTAGATCAACGCACCAACATCCATCCAAACTGAAGGTGTAAACATGTGGCTGTATACGTGGTTATTGTTTGGAAATTGTGTGAGTGTTGTGGATTGTCACTTTAAAAATTACTCAAGCAAAATAAATCTTCACTTTTGGCGGATAAAGCAAATGCATCTAAAACTGTTCATTGTACTTTTGTAGACCAATACAACACTAAACGACACTGTAAATTATGTTCAGTTTTTTTGTCCAACTTATCTTTCATTTTAAAAAACGAAATTTTAAAATGGTGGCCATTTTGAAAAATAAAAAATACCTCTCTTCCTCCTTTTTTAAAGAATATTCCAGACGAGAAACATTTTCGAAATTCGGCCTGTACGGATCAAGGGCACCATGACGGCCCTGTACGTGCGCCTTTCACTCCAGCTTTCCAACCCCCCCAAATTGAGAATTTAGAGAGACAGAGAGAGTGAAGCTTTTTGAGTTGTCTGAACGTTGATATTTGTATTTTAATGGCACATTTTCAGTAATTCTTAAATCACTAAAAGTAGAGTCCCGAATTTTACGTAACTCGTAAGTCCTTAGCAGAATGCCCCATCCGCCCCGAGCTGAAATGCACCTCCAATCGGCGAAAGAAAGACAGGTGGTTACAAACAGGTTCTCGCCCGCGTTCTGCGGCTTGTTCTCGTATCATTTTCCTAACAGCTCGATTTGTTATTCGTGGGTCGGCCGCTCAAACGCCGGGAACAAACAACATGCGGCATGACGGCGTCTAGTACGTAATTCGAGAGTTAATGTTTGAATAACTGGTTTGAATTCTTTTCTGTTTAAACAGAAGAATTCATTTCTGTGTTATGAAAAACAATTATGTTAATCTTTCAAAACGTCCCATTGTATCTGGCTTTGGAAGCCATCTCTCTACTTTTTGCAGCTGTTCAAAAATCAAAATCTCATGAGTTTTTCCGTATGTTCCTAAATTAAAAACCTGACGAGGAGATGGTGTGTGATCCAGTTCCCAGAACAGTGTTCTTCAGTCGTGTTCCCGCCATTCGAGCGCGAGAACAAGAGACCCGTGTCAAGAACGGGCCGCCCGAACTCGACCTCTGTTACGCGAACTCCGCATGCTCTGCGTCAAACGCGCATATCAGGCGCTTATGAGATGAGTACCCCCCCCAAAAAAAACCAAAATAAACAAACAAACAAACAAAACGAAGTAAAAAACATGCCCTCTTTTGTTCCGCTTGGAGCGGATTGTATGTCTGTTGGAAATCCATCCTGCCTGTGATCTGGCGCCACGGACGTTTGCAGTGCGTGCAAAAACACACAGAAACATGTGATATCGGTACATGGACCACATCAAGGACACTGACCAGTCTATGAGTGTTGTTAAATTAAACCATGAAAAAAGAAAGAAATTGGGCCATAGATATCAGATATTATGTGGACTAAATTGGGGGAGGGGTAACCCCAGAATCGTGGGGTCTACGCAAGACTTACTTTCCCAAGTACAAAGTCAGCGTGAACATGTCAGGGTGGTACTGTTTTCCAATTCGGGTGATGTTGGCATTGGTCTGTCCGGAATCCGGAGCGATCAGCGGAGAGTTACCGATCAAGGGCCAGCCGCGAGGCCCGGGCGGGAAGGTGTATTTCCTCCAGTACGTCAGATGCCGCCACACCAGAGCCGTCACGAGGAATGTCGCGACGAGGCATAAGAGGAAAACGACGGACGAGCTGTTGCCTGCGCTGGTCAAAACGGCGATTACGTTGTCAACGACTGCCATATTGCTCAAATCGTTATGTACGATTGTAACCGTAAACTGACGATAGTATTGCTTAGGGATCTTGTGACAAGTCCAAATTGCGGTTAAACGGGAACACCATGCACTTATTGACGGTAATTCCAACTGCGTGGCGTAAATATAGACAGCGAGCTTTGTATAATATATACATGTATATTGTATGTGCAGTCAGCTCATCAGTTTGGCGCAGCGAACTGTGACCTCATGTGGCCTTCATATATACATTAACGCCACATGTTCTCCAACTGATTTGCATATGATTAAAGGCCCATGCGTGCACGGGGTCTCTATCTGGTTCGTAAGGGTACAGTCCACTAATTCAAGCCCCATTGAAAACAGTGTAAAATCAGTACTGTTCAGGGCCCAATTACACGCACGCCAAACACAAATGAAATTCTTGCCTAGTCACTTATCTTTCAATTTCTTTTCAATTTTTTGTGGGTTAACCAATTACATTTTTAATTGTTGCCACAAAACAAAATCACCCCCCAAACAGTGATTTTCCGAAGTCTGATTGCAGCCATTTTTCAGTGGCAACACTCAACTTTCTGGGGCACTTAGGACCATTTTTCAACCGTAGTTTTTAGCCATTCTGCTCTCATGTGAAAGCTCGAAGACCCAGGGAGTTGATCCTGGTAAGGATTTACACAATCACACCATTTTGGGGGCCAAACAATCTCCTTTTTCAAAAGATACTGTGGGGGGTACTTTTAATGCCAATGAGCTGGCCAGAAACTCTCACTTGAATTAGTGGTCTGCACCCGTAAGTGACTTTGTCATAAATCGGACGCGCCACGATTCCCATACCCCCATTGGACGATCGCAGAAGTTACGCGTTAACTTCCGGTTCCATGGTTCCACAAAAACGGCGATCAATGCATGTAACCCTATGTTAT